GTTCATGGTTAAAGAAAGTTCAACTCAACCTGGTAAAATCACTGAAGAAAAAGGACCTTAATTTACAATTTCTTAGTGACAAATATCCTACTGAATTATATAACATGTTTTGTAATGTATTTTTTATTATACTAAGTAAAATTACAGAAAAATTACTTTTTAAAAATCTAAATAAAAAAACCGTTTTCTGAATTATCATTCAAAAATAACAGATGTTTAATATTAAAATTGGTCTAATTTAAAACAAAAACCGATGCAAAAATTCAATTTCATGTGAGTCTGTTGATAATAATAATTTCATATGTTGCCAACTTTATTGAAGTACTTAGTGAAAATACTTTTCCCATACCAGAAGAAAAATACTGTCTCTTGACGCATATGTTGCTAAAAAAGTAAGCATCATCAAAATATATTACGTTTCAGTCATCATCTGATTATGATAACTCGTAAAGAAACAGTATTTTTGTTGAAGACTGGGAAAAGTTTTCAGTAGATTAATTTCATGCCAGACGTTCCTATTCTATCTATCAAGTTTAATGATGTAATTGTACATTTCATAACGGTAATTTTTTCAAACATTACGTTAAAAGCCAATTCAAAAACACATTTTCTCCAGTGTAATGTTATGTATTTTGCTTCTTCTTCTCCTTGTCCTTGTATCTTCTATGTTTTCCAAGTTCTATCTTATCTACGTCTCTTGATCAAACACAGTTTATTTGTATAATTTTCAGATAGGCAAAACAATTGCTGAACTCAAACAGCTTCTGATATATCAGAAAAAGAATAGAGGAAGTGTCACTGCCATTGCCACAAGACTAGGTAGGCCAGGACCTATAACACCTCAATGGCTCATCTTGACTCCCAAAGAAATGCTACCGCAGCCTGACAAAGTGGCTTACCCCAAACCCCCCAAGGCCCCTGACGGAAGTTTGCTCTATGAACGGATACCCAACAAACCAGAAGCCGAAAAAATCCCTTTGAATAATATGTCACCTTCGTTAAAGAGAAGGGCCTATGACGAAATGAATGGAATGGACAGTAAGTTTTTTTTTAATTCAAATAAGCGTTGGATAGATAATTTATTTGACTATGTTATATGCATAGATATTTGTGGCAGGTCATGATGGCAATATCTTTTAATCATCTATACACACAGTCATATGAATATGTATAAAAAAACTACATAGAACCCAAAATATACAAAAATATAACATTGCAAAAATTATGTCAGCAATTCAGTAGTAGCTATCCTCATACAGTGCAGACGTAAATGGTTTCCCTTTCTTAACTTTTTAACAGGGGAAGATATCAAAGTTGAACCATTTGATAAAAAAAAGCCAGTGATGTGACATCACTCGCCGCAAAAAGAAGGCTATCAACTTTTTTTTCAAATAGAAAGGGGGATCTTGTGGCCCTTCGCTTGAATGGCATTTCAATTCTCTATACAACGACCTTTACTATTTTGAATTTGGATAACCAATTGCAGAGATATTGATGTATCAATTGAAGACTAGGAAAAAAGATAATTATCACAAGTTACACAAAGTTTGTTATGTGTAAGAAAACAAAATTGTTCATGGAAATTAATCATGTTCAAAATAAAATTGAACCAAAGTATTTTTCAAAAACATCCATTTCTGTTCTTAATTCGCTTCAAGATTAAGAATCAACACCGTGTACATAAAGTATTGGGATAGTATTGGGAACAACCTGCAGTCCACGACAACAGTTGCTCGTGAGAATGTTGTCTCAACAGACATAAGTTTCCTGTTAAATACAGTTTTGTGAATTAATGTATTGATGTTTGATTACAAATCGAAACTGTATAAAAATATTTGTTTTAGTGATGAATGCACATTTTTCTCAATTGGAAATTTCAACCCCCAAAATGTACGATATTGGTCAAACATATACCCACATACTTTTCGAGGTCACAATCAAACTCCTGAGAGAATAAATGTCCGGGCAGGAATATTCGAAAGTCATCTTGTTGGTTCCATATATTTTCAGAACCTTGTTCACCTACAGATTCAAAAAATAGTGACCAACAAACAAAATGAATTAAGAAATCCAGTAGTTTTCCAACACAATGGTGCGTTCCTCATTATTTTATACTTGTAAGATACAATAAAATCAATAGTATAGAGAATTTCAGGTACTTTCAGTTTTCTAACAATGTTAAAAACAAAAATCACTTCCGAGGACTCATGGTGAGTCCACGTGATTGTATACTCGATTATATATTACCCGTTCTAATATCTTCGACAGAGCTGGTAAGACCGTTGTGGGTCTGTAGTTTCTTACATTGTTCTTATTGCCGCTTTTGTGTATGGGGATAACTCTGCCAATTTTGAGAAAGCTTGGAAAACGATTTTCTTTCAGAGAAAGATTGAATATTAATGTCAATGGTTGCTTTAACAAGTCACAGTAAGCCTTGAAAAAGTTGGCTGAAATGCTATCGATTCCATTGGCTGCTTTGTCTTAATAGCATTTTCAACCTCTTGTTCCTTAATATCACCAATTTCAATGATGTCTAGGTCATACTCAGGAACTAGTGTGGGGTTTACCGGCACACCGCTATTCGTGACAGTTGATTTGAAGAAAGTAGCCAAACCGTCTGCACTATCATTATCATTGAATAATTAATCATCATCATAAGTGAATCTGTTAGCAACAGCACATTTTTTTCAACATTCCTTGATATAAGCCCAGAATTTTTTGGGATCACTCTGTAAGTATTGCTCTACTTCTTTTATATAGGATTCATAACACAAATTATGGGAACGTTTCACATCCATTCTGAGTTCGTTGTATTTTTCTTTATAATAATAATTTTTTGACTTTTTTTTTTTCGTCATTTTGAAAAAGTGTTCTTTTATTTTAATTTTGTGCATGATTTCTGTTGGGAACCATGCGGGAAATCGATTCTGAATGAAAGTATTTTTTTTTCAAACATTTTTCAAAAACGGCCTTCAGGCAATCATAGAAACTATCTACATATCCGTCGACATTATCCATACATAGAATATCTATCCACGAAAGTTGAGGTAGCATTCTATAGAGCTCCACAAAGTTTCCCCTCCTGAAGTCAAATGCAGTAACGTGCCAGTAACCTTTGGACGATTCGGTTACTTGTTGAAAATTGACAGTGAACATTATTTCGAGAGCTGGATGGCAGTTATCCAACCGCACTAAAGGCGTTTCACATTCGCTCACAGTCGCTTTCGTAATATGTGTTAATATTAAGTCAAAGTATTGGAGCCATTAGATATATCATTTATTGAATATAGATTATACTCACACATGATGGAATGGATTAATCTCACTTATGATGATCCGTTTCTCAAGTTATATTTCTAATTAGTTATTCCAGAGACATTGAAGTCACCCACTAACAACTTTTCGGTGGCATTGAGCACATTACAATTTTCCAGGGATTCAGAAAACGGTTCATATACCGTTGAATTCGCTCCCGATGTTATGTACACACAACAGATCGTGACGTCGAGATCTTTTATAGAGATTTTGACAGATAACCATTAAAAATCGATATTCATACGCTTTTCATTTCGAAATATCGGTTAGCATGAATCACTCAGTTCGTTATCAAAATAAAACTATCATTCAGACATGTTTCTGATATACATATCACATCCCAGTTATTAGAAAGTATGCTGTGAAAAAATTCCGTATGCTTCGTGCGGAGGCATGCTTTCACTTTATGCCCTTGAAATTAACACATCTATTGCTAAAGGTGTTACATTTATTTTAAAAAAATCTGAGATATGCTGGCGGAGTTGAGAAATTGCTTATCCCAAATTCAAATATCAATAGCTCTGCAACCGGTTATTGTCATTGTATAGAAAATTGAAATACCATTCATATGAAATGTCACAAGACCCTCCCTTTCAATGATGCCCTCTCGGCGGCAAGTAATGTGCCATACTGTGGGCTTTTGTCTCAAAAAGTACTAAAAATGATTCCTTTTTAGAAGATTTTCTCCGACAATTATATCCTGTCCCGTATCACTTCAAATATTCCTGGTTTGAATTACTTGATTTCTGCGGGTATTTTTTATGGATATTCAAGTCGAAAGAAATATTTTTAGTTTAATAGGGAATCTCCATGCCTGGTATTATAATTGAAATACAAATCATTTATTCATTGGAAAAATTTGCTAATTTTTATGGATGCCTAATAGACCCTGAAAAAATGAATGCTGAGGGAGGTGTCATAATTCCTAATCTTGTAAAAGATTTCCATGAATTTTCTGAGTCTAATCCAGTGATAATTCTGAAAGCACATTTTCGTGTTACAAAATTTCTAGATTCCAAATTGAAATGCCATATTATGTCAGGTGGCTATACATGAGAGAAAAATAGGAAATCATGTGCTCATGAAGAGTTGACAAGCCTGTTTCTTTGGTTGATTGAGTTCTGCTGTACTTTGTTTTTTATATCTATGTAAATATTGACAATTTCTACACCTGGTACTAGATTTTTTTATAGAAGAAACTAATATTGCCTATTTTCCAGAATTGAAATATACAGATATGGAATGCGCTTGTTTATAATCCAGATGATTCATTTTTTATATTCAACTCTCAAAAAACAAAAGTTTATATTTTTCTTAATTGAAACCGTTTGTTTCAGTATACAAGTAGTGAATGCTAAACATGCAAGAAATTGAAATTATAACAATTATTTTATTTGTCTCATTACAATAGGTATACTAAGTAATGGAATATTAAAAAATCAATGATACTATAGTCATCTATGACATATATGAGATATATAGTCGATTGAAACATGAAAAAAAGATAATACTCCTGAGAAATATATAATGTATCACCTAAATATTGACAAGATAATATAAATGTTTTTATATGTGATGGAATTGACCGATACTTGATATTCAAGAAACAATTTATTGAGATTTTTTCTAAACAGTTTCACCAAAATGCAACACATGTTTTGATGTACAATAGCTTCTTCAGGCGTATCTATATTGACACACCTGAAGAAGTTATTGTATTGCATTTTTGTAAAACTGTTTTAGTGAAAAGCTCAGAATGAAGTGTTTCTTGTAAATTGTTTTGAATAAGAAACATTTAAAAAATACAATTCTCTTTAATTCTGAGTGGAATTTGTTTCCGATACTATGTCTGCGCCGGAACAAGCTTTTATTTAAATATTTTACTAACAGGACATGTCTAATCCTGCATATTAGATCAGAAAATTTATATTTGCTGCACTCAGTTTTATGAAAAAGAATTTTATTTCATCGACATATAGGTTTCTATTTTCTGCTAGAGTTCCTATGTTATAAGTGATCGATTTTCTTTACCCTCTCCATATTTTCATTGTAAATATTGAGAATAGCATTTTAATTTACCATATGTTTGTTGGCTTCTATTCTGACTTGGACTGGGATGATGGTAAGTGTATTGCAAATATTAACTTCAAGTGTGGAATGGTGGTGATTTTCAAGTTGGATAACAACATAATTTTATAAAACTTTTTTTTTTAGTTGTTTCACAAAAACATATTTTTAATATTTACATTTTTTTTTGTCAATGGTCCCCTCATTACGTTACACAAAGAGTGAAACTCGAGGCCGTACAGTACCATTTCCTGCAATATATCGCCTTCAAGATGCGTGTATACTGACTATACTGCATTGGAATGCATTTTGAACATACCTTCTCTTGAGGCTCGCAGAAAACATAGAGATTTAATACTTCTATTCAAAATTATCAACGGACTGAGTATCAGCCCCAAGCTTCTCTCCTAATGCATTAAAAGTCAGTACTGTTGTTCCGATACCTAAAATTCCAAACACAAATAAATCAAGTGAATANTATAACAGCTTTATTTCCAGAACTCTTCGATTGGCTAACTCTTTAAATAACCTTCAAATCTTCAATATATCAGTTTCCCGCTTTAAAAACCATATTCTTCACCTAGCCATCTAATACTCTCTGCTTGTGTTGTTGTATTGTGTCTAGTGTTACTTGCCTGTAAGAATTATATTCATATTGTTATACATTTTGATTTTTCTTAAATAATCTACTTGTTATCTTACTTTTAAATTGTATTATTCTTATAATTTACTTTTAATCCACTGTATTGCACTGTACTACTTATATCTGAATTGGGCTTGCCCGTGTATTTACATATATATTTAAATCAATAAGAACAAAACTCCAATGAAGTGACATACTGTTGTTGAATAGGAGTTATGAGTCAATTACTAATTTGTACACATGACAACTTAATAACCAGATATGGATCATGCATATACAATAATTTTGAAAATGCTTTGAGTTGTCCGAGTTATTGAGAGGAGCCAAAAATTAGGTCAGGAGAAATATAGGGTAGGATATGCGATATCTTTGAAATATCCCCATAGACAAAACCGATTGACATCAAATATGAGTCATCAATTTTACTTTTAGGAAGTTTTCCATCAGAATACTTGGTGACAATTTCTAATTTATGAGGGGTTACATTCTTTAGCCTCTAAAGGGTGTTCAATTGTTTTGTTAACTATTTACAGAAATCAGTTGTAAAATTTGAAACTGAAAAGGATATCATTCATTGAAAACATTATACAGTATGATACATTGAACAGAGTCGCAAATATATTAGGGTTATATGCAAAATATCTTAAAGAGAACCAAAACAACTTAATACTAATCAAAATCTACAGTTTACACTTAACGATTCCCATAGTCAAATGAAAGTTGAGCCGGAAAAGGTTGAACCCTCATCCAGTACATCGTAGGTTTCATGAGTTTAATTCGTTAACACAGTCAACCCAGTAAATCATCCATCATACATTCACTATACATATCCCCAGTTCATAATACTAGTACATATTCTTTGAATTACCACAATTCCATATAACTTGCAAAATTGTATTTATTTTTATTGTCATTAAATAGAATTAATATAATTTACTTAGGTGGTGTTGGAGTACCTGTGAGCCTTCCGCCTACGAAGAGAATAACAAAAGAACCAGTACAAGTAACTAGACCAGAACAGTTTCAAGCAATGATGGCTGCACAACTGCCCCCTGGCCAACCCTTGCCTCGTCACATCGCACAAATAAATGGAAAACCAAAAATTGCTCACATGACGAGAACAGGCTCTGGACGGAAACAAGTGATAAGTTGGATGGACGCGCCTTTCATTATGATTTCCTACCACATAGTAACGGCTACATCCATCAATTTATTATTACTTTTCATTTTTCTTTCATTTCATTTGATAACTTTATCTACAATAAAATTATTTGCTGACGCTACATATCTACTCAGATTGAATACCTGGTGCACTTTGGGATGATTCTTAATACACAGAAATGTCCTAACAGTAAGATACAATTTCTGTAGAAAGTCTATAGAATTTAACTTGACAAATTTGCTTTGGAGAGAATGATAATGTTGAAGGACCTGTGGAATTATTTTGACATATCTCCGACCTTTGAGTATCACATTATATACTTATGATGCACTGTTTGGAACCTTTGGTGTAGTAATGAATATTACTGGAGTTTTTTCCCAACACCAAACCATTATTTTAACACCTCGACACGTGTTTCGATCACCAAGTGATCATCTTCAAGAGGAAGATTAAACTCAAAACACATTATATAAGAATTCACACAGCACTTTCTAGTATCAACTCAATCCGAGCACTATATTATTTTCTTGTTAGGTCTCATTTTTAATACTCTAGTATATGGTCGACTAAGGTATATTATTTATCTAGATGGAATCAAGAAAGTACTCATATGTCGGTATTAAACTGATGTTATGATCAAACACTTCATGTTACAATAATCAGAAACACTAGTCACTTTTATACTGTACATTATTATCTAAGATTTGTAATATAAAAGTAAAGATAAGGCAAAAAATTATAGCAGCTGGCTTATGTTAATAATATTCACCCTATTAACCAGTTTTTCTCATGAAAAATAAAACTTTCTATTTTTTTTACCACTTGACCTAGCAACTTATGTTACTGCAGTTTCGTCTTACAAGTACATTTTCAAACTACTACAATAAACTCCCATTTGTCTTTTGTAATATACTTTTTGTAGTTGTACAGACATTATTATTGAGAAATATTTTTATAAAAATTGAGGATAATACAAATGAAAGCAGTTGAAAAGTACTTCTCACTATTTGGCTAAATCAATATAGAATCTGCTGGGGTGTAATAACTGAAAAGTTCACCCTGAATGTTTCTGCACAATATAAACCACTTGTATTGATGAATTTTGCCTACAAATTGTAAAAATCAATTGAAAAAATATTGAATATTTATACTTAGCTGTTATAAGAGTTCGAATGTTTGAAGTCCTTAATACATTGCGGCCCATACTGTACTTGTAAATATTCTTTGAAAACTTTTTTTGTGAAAGACTCAATACTTCTTACCCCAAAAAGTGAACATTTCAAGTTACCTTTTCTTACACCTCAGCAGAATTTCTATTGTTTTAGCTTTATTAATTTTCCAGATTGTGGAACGATATATACCAAAAAAAAATTAAGAAGTATTAAGTCGTCCACAGAAAATGTATTTCAAAGAGTAATTGAAAAGTACTCAGTTACTGAAAATATTAGGGGTACGTTGTTGATTTGAAGATGTGTAGTGCACTTTTCTTTGCCATATTAGTACTCTATCAGTAATAATGGTTTTCAACGACCCTAATATATTTTATGTTTTCCCAAAAGACGAATATCATATTGTGAAATATGAATGGCATGTCAGTTGGATTAAGTTACAGTATGTGAATTCTGATCTCCTTATATACTTACTTCACTTTTACTTCAAAGAGTGGTTAATAGAACCTTGAGAAATGTGCTTGATATTTTATTCATTCAGGCAATACTTGCATCAACCAGTTTTTTATGGTAGTCAAAAATATCGCTTCTATTTCAAAACGATTCAGTGCACAATATTAAACTAAAATTCCTGTTTTGACGAGCCTTTTTGGAAGTTTGAAAAAAATGATATAAAAAATAATTGTATAAACTTCATCCCCTTTGTGAAGGAGAAAAAGTTCAAGTTAGCACACTGATGGTTCCGAAATAAAGATATCTGCTTGTATTGGTGTATAAGGTCTGTCTAGGAGAGGGAGTTTTGTTTCAACTTTTGGAGCTATGTCACGTTTTTTCTGATCGAAGTATTAAAAATGCTTACTTGCATTCCTAAACACTTAAATAAATCCAGAGATAGATTCCCAGTTATCCGCTAGAAAAAAGTCAAAACAGTGGATCATGAAATTTTGTTTTTTTCCAAAATCAATCATAAGAGTTTCACCATCACAGTTCATCACTACAAGAGAAAAAACTGTTTAAAAAATTTGGAAAAAATTGTAATTTTTGTGCCAAATTTCATCACTGTACTAGATGTGTAAAAGGATTCAGGCTCGCGACCCATAACTTTTTCTCTTAGTGTCAATATGGAATTTTGTTGGTTCCAATGGTATAATAATTCGGATTGATTGGGTCAAAAATATTTTTTGTAGAATTTTCAGAAATAATCCCAACTTTGGAATTTAAAATGGAACAACCTGTATGTATTTTTAGATTTAGCAGTTCATTCAACATATGAATGTCCTATTTTTGATACTATACATACTGTGAAATTTTTTTTTTTTTTTTTTAATTACGTCTAGAAGGCTGCAACCACTAAAAAACATTTGTCCTGCACTTATAATCTAATGTAGAAATAGAAACAATAGTTCTGCTTTCTTCATTACATATTTATTAATGTGTACAATTTCAATTGTATGATAAAACAATAATTCTGCTCTAAAAGCGGTGCCTGTGCGAAAGTAGTGATTCACATTAGATTTGAATCGCTGGAGATTAAATTCATTTGGAACAACGTTCTCAAAAAGTTTATTCCACATAAACGCAGTTCTCCAAATGAAAGATTTCTTGAACAGTGAAGTGAGTACAAGAAAAAATGCTCATCTTTTACGAGAAGACAATTTTCAAAAACGATGTGGATGGGAAAAATGAGACAAAGATTATTTGGTCCAATTATCTTAGAAGGATCTTCAACAGGAGAGCGATAGTTGGAATTTCTCCAGAATAAAGTCAAAGGCTACTTATAGAATTTATTGTTGGTCATAAGAAATTATATGTATTTCATGTATTTCCAACAACTCGGGCCACTGGACGTTCTTAAAGTACCTCAATTATTTTTTTCCTGTCAGATGTTATACTGAGTGTTCCACTTGAATTTTACATTAAAATTCTGGTAATAGATATTACCAGAATATAATGAGCCATCATCGTGCTATTGAAAAAAAAATGTTATAAAATTGAATTATTCGTCAATTTTTTTAATAAATAGCTGGTGGAAAAAGCAGAACTACTGATTCTATTTATATATTAGGCTATGAGAGCAGAGCAAAAATCTTCACATTCCTATGTAAAATGAAGTGATGAATCAAAAAATGTGAAAAGAAGGGTGTCCTTTTGGAAATTCCGAAGTTGGAATAATTTCCTGTGAAACTGAAAATGGTATTGAAAATATTTTTTATACAAATAATCCGAATTGTGAACCATCAAAATTCCACATTGATATCAAGAGACAAAAGAGTTATACATGCCAGCCTGAATTGGTTTACCCCTGGTATACACCATTTTCACTAATTTTCATACTCACTGAATTGAAATTCTTGTTTTATTATAGAAAAGTTCGTCGACAAGTCACATTAGCAGAGTTAAGAAGAGGTGCGAGGAAACCTTGGAGGCAACTAAGAACCAAATCTGATGATCTGCATGTGGTCGTCCTCGATTGACAGTGAACTTGAACACTTAACTTGTAAATTAACTTCGCCAAGTGCTCATTGTGCTGTAGCACATTTTTTATAAGGAGACGATTCCCACAATATAACCCCAAATATTGTTTTCATGTGACCTGAATGGTTTTAAATTGTTTCATCGTGGTGATCCACTCAAACTTTTTGCAAGATAATGTCAAAGCTGGATTTCAACGAATTATTTGTTTCTTCAAAATTACGACTTTGAAACTCTGCAATCTCGTAATTTCAAAATTATGAGACTGAAGTCATTATTTTTAAATTTTGAAATTTAATTTGAAATTTCGAGTTAAAAGTCGTAATTTTGAGTTTGAAGTCATAATTTCGAATTTGAGGTCAAAATTTCTAGAGTAAAGTCGAGATTTTGAGGTTAATGTCAAAATTTCTAGTTTCAAAGTCGTAATTTTCAAGAAACAAATAATAAAAATATGTGGCCCTTCTGCGCTTCCGTACAATGAAGACTTTCGGTTTGTTAAAGTCAATTAATAGCTGATTAACTGCCAGCTTTGTAGCCATTAATTTGCCAGATGTGAATAAATGAAATGAGATGATTGCCCAAATTCAAATCAGTTATAGTGGACTCTGTTATTTGATTTTTTTGAATTGCAAAATGGAATGTAATTTTTTTCAGAGTATTTTAATACATTTTATGTACATTTACATTATTGATTTGTCCATTATATTCGGAGAAAGTTAAAATATCCTTGGAAGAAATACTTTATAGAAGAAATGTATTCATCTTCTGTTGAAAAAAGTCATTTTACTATAGAATTGAATCACAATTTTGTACTGTTTGACTGAATATTTTTAAATCATTCTGACAAGAGGGTTAAATTTACAATGTGAAAATCAAATTCATGCTCAATTTTAGTAATCCTCATTTGTTTGAAAACTTTTTGATTTTTTCTTTTTCGTTAATGATCCATTATAGAACGAGAATTTAAAGCAATTTTTTTCAATGTCAGGTCATGAAACTTTGTTCTACTGTACTTGTGGAGTGACGTGGTTATGTTGTAAGAAACGCATTTTTCAAATCACCATGGTGATGATCAAAATGACACACTGTAATATATTCAAAGATTGGTCACCTCATGTTTAACTGTTATAATCAGATTTATTTATTTATTGTCTGTAGAACTGTGGTACAGAGTTTTGTTGAAATAATTGGAATATTGGATTAGTTACTTTCATAGAGGGTTATGAAATTTGGGTAATGACAAACTAGTTTTTGATGTAACGAGATGTGAAGTACTACTTTTCTGCACAAATGTGGAAACGTTATTTCACATTATAGTTGATAGTCCAATTTTATTTCTATACCTGTAAGTAAAGCAGTAAAGTGTGAAATTGTTTTGTTTTTTTTTTTCACAAATTATGAAGAAAATTTGAGTCAGTCTCAGATTTTCTCCATATGTTATTGTGAACAATGTGAAATCATATTTCACTTTTTGGATACTTGTAAACAAATGTAGAAAACATTTTTCCATTCAATCTCTTTCCAATATCTAATTAAACATGCTAACAAAGTTTGTAAAGAGTGTGTATCATATGCGTATATGTCATTTCAATACAATTGAATTTAAAACTTTTTTACATTACCATCAAGGTAATTTTTGATCGATCCTCTAGTACTGAAAATATATTTCAATAAAAAGTTGTGCTCCATTGTTTTACTATTATTATTTTTGTACATATTTCCTAGTTATATGGTTACTTTTGATTTAATAAAAAACATAAAGCTAAAGGTGTTTTTCTATTTTGATATCTTCAGTGCATTGTAGATGTTTCATTATTTAATATTAATGAAGAAATTGAGGCATTACATTTCTAAGCTGCGTTTCTGTAGGTACCTATAAATACTGTATAAATGTTGAGTTTCATTTTATGGAAGATTTCAAAGCAAGCCGGTATCACTACAGAAAATATAGGTTTTGTGTAATTAATCTAAGTTTTATATTTTTGCCAGTGTCATTTATAAATATTAATGACTTTATTTTGATTATCACCCCCAATGCATAAAAACGATGAAACAGTCAGTCAGGATAGTTTTGCAGCAATTAAATGCACTAGATTTTTTATTCAAGGAACATCTTATTGTGATATTTTCACTAGACCTGTCACAAAACCGAAACACGTTTTGTACTATTCCATCACAACAAACTTTTTTAGTATTTTCAACAAACTCAGTCGATCAAATCACATATGATTCCATATTTATAAAAATTATGGTTTTTCACACATTTCAACTGATATGTAATCACTAATATCTTCGATTGACTATTTGTTAAAAAAAAAATGGTTTACTTCTTAGGTCATCGTTACTGCAAATTCATCGGCGGTTATGAGTGAGTTTAAATTAAAAACTTTGATTAAATTCTAGTCCAGCATTTCCTAAATGCTTCAAAACGGCAGCGGCGGTGTTTTGTGATTCATCGAGAGCATTTGACTGCACGTGATACTGCTGCACAAATTTGAAGAGAAAATTGGTCGCTGTTGGCTAGGAAAATAATTGATTTTTTTTTGTAAATACTTGATCCTCAATGCTCTAATGTCCATTTTCGATCCTCAATGCTCTAATGTCCAGTTTCTCTATTAATTTATTTTATTATTTCCAGTCCTCCATTTGAAACCCATTTTTTTTTAAATCATACGAAGAGATGTTTTGCAAGCCACAATTCCCAAAACGTCATTAATTTTGTGTTGGAACTTTTTTACCGTAATATGATACCCTTCCGTCTTATGAAAGTCGTGAATAATCCGTCTAATATTGGAATACTCATACTCGGGAATATCGGTTACTGGTGCTCTTGTTAGGCCGCTTCTTTCTTGGAGTGGAAAATGTTAATTCTTCGTTATTTGCAGAAATTAATTGCTCCCCTTCTTTAACCACTCTTTCATTGGTTTTTATTGAAATACCTATTACAAACTGAAGATTTGTGTTGAAATAGTTATTTTTTGAATTAATGTAATGTTACCTGTAGTGAGAGATGTTTTGCTTTTCACATTTGATAGCGTATCTGACTCACTCGGGAATATCAGTTGCTGGTGCTCTTCCAGGCCGCTTCTTTCTTGGGGTGGAAAATGTTACCTACTTCTCCGTTATTTGCAGAAATTAATTGCTCCCCGTCTTTAACCACTTTGAAAATAATTGTACACTTATGTCTTGCAAGAGCTGTAGTGGGGGTTACATTGAAAATGAGTTTGTGCGCATAGGGGCAGGCTCGCCATCACGTTTGGCGCTTGTATTAATGCAGGTTATCCTATCATGACTCCTGTCGACCATTCTTTTTGGAATAGAGTGGACTTTAGTTTATCTTTACATTTTATTCATTGTAAATGTACTTCAAACAGTTTACACTTATTTTATCTTGATATTATATGGTTTATTATTCCATAAGATTTTACAAGCTTTGTCAATAAAAATGTAAATGTGATGCACTGTTTGAACCTTTGGTGTAGTAATGAATATTACTGGATTTTTATTCTAACACCAAACCGTTTTTGTAACACCTCGTCACGTGTTTCGATCTTCAAGCGGAAGATTAAACTACATATACTTACAATGTTATCCACATTTATACCATAGGAATAAATGAGATACCTGCTTCTTAGGTGTCTCAAATTAATTTCACAATGTTATTTACTAGTCCGCAGGCATCTGGATGCCTGTTGTTGTTAACTTGTCTAATCTTGATGAACTAAATGGTTTTGTTGTCCCTTCCGTCTTATGAAAGTCGTGAATAATCCGTCTAATATTGGAATACTCATACTCGGGAATATCGGAATATCGCTTCTTTCTTGGAGGGAAAATGTTAATTCTCCGTTATTTCCAGAAATTAATTGCTCCCCTTCTTTAACCACTCTTTCATTGGTTTTTATTGAAATACCTATTACAAACTGAAGATTTGTGTTGAAATTGTTATTTTTTGAATTAATATAATGTTACCTGTAGTGAGAGATGTTTTGCTTTTCACATTTGATAGCGTATCCGACTCGGGAATATCAGTTGCTGGTGCTCTTCCAGGCCGCTTCTTTCTTGGGGTGGAAAATGTCACCTACTTCTCCGTTATTTGCAGAAATTAATTGCTCCCCGTCTTTAACCACTTTGAAAATAATTACACTTATGTCTTGCAAGAGCTGTAGTGAGGGTTACATTGAAAATGAGTTTGTGCAAACCGTTTTTGTAACACCTCGACACGTGTTTCGATCTTCAAGCGGAAGATTAAACTACATATACGTACAATGTTATCCTCATTTATACCATAGGAATAAATGAGATACTTGCCTCTTAGGTGTCTTAAATTAATTTCACAATGTTATTTACTAGTCCGCAGGCATCTGGATGCCTGTTGTTGTTAACTTGTCTAATCTTGATTGTAAAATGCATCAAAATATTTCGAACTCATCTGCAGCTAATGGGATACAAATCTGCTAAATAAAAGGAATAGGAGTGTAATAAGAATGAAGGGAAATAAGTTTATTCGATTACTGATATATTATAGGCCATACATTGAAAATCCGAATCAGTTTAACAATGAAATGAATGAAAAAACTAGATGAACTTTGCATCAAAGATGAATTTCTGAAAGTGTATTTATTTCTTTTTCTGGTAACAGACCAATGCGGGTGTTTTTTGGCCAAGATATGACATTGAAGTCTCGTATTTATCAAAATTATGAAATTTGAATCATGTTTTATTCAAATCGATAGAGCGAAAGATTCGAAAAATTTTAAAAAATTGGAACAAAGTCGAAGTGGTTAGAGAATACAAATTTCGAGCAAGAGTATAAAATTGGAAACTGAGCTATATTTTCTTTGACATTTTTCTAAATTTCCAACAAAAAACTGATTTTTTGAGGATTTTCGAAAAAAATTTCAAATTTAACAGGTTTAGAGTAGCACATGACGAAAGGAAAGAGACTGTTTTTTACTCATTTTTCAAGCACAAACTAACTGCAAAGTCAAATTTTCATTATATCTATTAGTAAAAAAAACTTCAATATGTAGCGAACTTTGTGTGACACTGTATAAGGTATGTAATGTAATCTAATTGTAATAATTGTGTATAAAAAATTGTCTATGTTGGCCGTGGTATGCAAGTTTTTATGCCTACTGTTTTTTTTTTACAATCGTGATAGACATTATTTTAGGTATCGAGGCAGAGGACAAAGTGCTCTAGTTGCCTTTTCGGCACTTACTATAACCATATTAGGGTTCGCTATTTGAACGGTTCTCGAACTGTCAAATATAGTCGCTCAGTTGAGACTTGAAACACACACACGCACGCACAGTTCTTTTGTTTACAAACTATTGAGATTACAGCGGAGGCAACTGCAGTTAGGTTGTTTGTTGTCTTGATATAATCCCAACTGATATGTCCGATAAAAAAAATCTGTTTAAAATCTGTTTTCCGTTACTCAGCTTATATCAACACACTCAATAACTTTCATATTTGTATGTTTTCCCAGACCTTGATATCACGCAGATAGCTATAGTTGTCTCTGAAATAGTTTTCTTCCAAATAAAACTATATATATGAGCCTTTACAGAGTTCATAATATTTTCATTTTCCTTCATTTCTCGCTCCTAGACAACAACCTAACAGGTTTTCAGGTGTTTAATGTTCCCTTCAAAAAAACATGTCTGTTTGAGGCATTTTGAGCCAAGGCGCTACCCACATGATCAAATCAAAAGTGACTAGATATCTGTGCAATTAATTTTTATATTGGATTTCAAGAAAATGCCAACTTTTCAAATTAAATTCAAATTCCATAATTTTCAGTTTTTCGGGCCCCTAACATCATAGAGTGTTACATTTATTATTTTAGAAAAAATATTGAACCTCTTTTAAGTATTCTAGTATTAATATTCATTGGTAAAGGTTACTACTGGATCCCAGGTTGGTAGAATCAAAACTCATTTTCTATTAAATGTATTCATAGAAGTATATTAGCTTTACAAAAATAAATAATACAAAATACAATATATGTTTCATATCAAAAATAAAAAATAAGTCACTATTTAATTACATAAAAGATTTCAAAACCTATTATTAATTTGGAGAGAATATGATCACAACTTAGTTTCATGCCTGAAAGGCCTACGTAACTGCCTCGTAAAGGCAGGAGGGGGAGGAGGAGGATTACAGTCTGATTCATCGCCAGCACTATCTACATCACCATCGCTGCTATTTGTTGAAGCCACTGTTTGAATGGCCCTGCCAGCTCTTTGCCTTCTATAATACTTAAATTCTCTAGGTAATGTGTATGAGCGCGGTAAGGATACCTGGCTTTCCCGACCTGAAGATGGATATGGCACTGGTTCCTGGTGCTTGGTTTCTTGTTCAGGAGGTATACAATCGCAGTACAAATATCTCGGAGCAAGTAAAAGTTCGGGAGTTCTAATTTTTGGCGCTCTAGGAGGAGGTCTACGATTCATATTAACCCCATGACCAGCAAGGTTATTTAGAGAAGTTAGGTGAGGTTCCACATGTCGTTTTTCTCGAGGTATTGGTTGTCTGTCATCAAAGTCAGCTCCTTCAGGTCCCACAAGTTTTCCCTATAATAAAAAAATATGGTTTATAAATAAATAATGAACTGGTTATTACATTTTAGTTGCTTGAGTTACCTAATATAAATGATGTCACCCCAGAGATATGCATGCTTTGAATAACTCAATAAAAGATTATGAATATAGGTTGGTAGCACATTAAGTCATACATATTGAATAGGCCCCAAGTGGTTAGCATAATGAATGAACAAAATCATTACACATCTAGTAGAAACATCATCAGACAAGGTGTTTTACCCAGGATTCTATATTTGGACTAATACTTTTATATGTAAATGACTTGTTCACAGCTCTGAATCTGCAGTCATTATCCGCAGGAAATAATAAATCGGAATTCTCAACCAAAGCATCAGCCATCTCAAATAGTTTGGTCAATTAATGTGATGATTAAAACCTATGTGCCAAACTCCAAAATAAACGTATTCCAATATCTGAACACACACAATTTTTAGGTGTCACAATGGATGAGACCCCTGGTGGAAAACCCACATCAACTCTATTTGTGGACTGTGATATATGACCAAATTTTTGTTTTTAATCTGAGCACATATCACTATAACTATGCTCAGTCAATAATTTCATATTTTGGGGTTTCTCAAAAAAAAAGAGATGTATTCTAAATCTAGGAAGAAAAACCTCCTGCAAGAAGTTCTTTGCACAATTTGCATTGCAAATCTTCAGAAATAATTCAACATATTATGGTAAAGGTCCTTACTGTCGAGTGATTGAAGCATATAGTTCTCTACTATTACTCAATAATAATAAAAATGATAATGAAATTTTCGGAACAAAAATTATATCACTGGATTCGCACAATGAGCACCTTATATTAGTGAATAACTGGATTCAAAAATCCTACTTAGTAGAATTGGATAAAGCACTTCGACCTCAAAGAAATCAATAATATCGTTTTTATGCATTTGGATTAGTTGAAAAATTATTGTGAATTTTGGCAACATTTTTATTCAATTTCTTTTCTTCTCACTACTTCCTCGATTAAAGAGTAATATTTTATAGAACTAGAGAGTAGACAAAAAAGGAAACACCCCCATTATAACACAGCATAGCAATCCAGTTATCTTGTGAAAATTGTATCGAGGAATTTGATTTATAAACTATCATAACTGGTGTAACAGCCTGGCCACGGGACATTCGCCGATGCGAATATTCGCGCGGTGCGAACAGCGAAGCGTCTAGCGACTGAAATAAACGCATAGCAATGTATTTATGAAGCCACGCGCAACGGCGACCGGCGAAATGTACCGAGCTTAAGTACATTCCTTAATGTCAAAAACAATTTTTCAGCGTCACTTAAAATTCTATTTGCATTAACTTTTTTCTCCAATTCTGGTTGAATATTCATATAGATATAATCTGTATTTCTCGTACTTGTTGTGGAAATCTCCATCTATAGGTACCCCGATTCTTATTCAAATCATGTACTCCACAATCTCTTATAAATATTAGGCCTTGAACCAAAAAACTATTACTTTTTAAGCAATATCGAGATAATTTCGATAAAGACATTTCGCGGTCGGACTACTGGTCGCGGTGGCGAACGTTACTGCCCGTAGACTGCAAACGGTGCCGCGCGAATGGTAGCTTCGCCCCTCGCTTAGACGTTCGCACCGCCGATCCCCGTGGCCAGGCCGTAAGAGGATTCTAAGAGTGTCAAAGGTATTTTCCGGTTTTTTTGGCCGTGGTCTGCAGGTTTTTATGCCTGACGTTTCGTCTACTACTGCGGTAGACGTTATCAAAGGTGATGAGGTAACGGTCGAAGTGCTCAAATTGTTGTTCCCGTTGATCATAACACAGAACCTACTTCTGGAATTTGTCTCCGGTGTTATATCATCATACGTGGGCGTGGCTTAGTTTCTTTTAAATTGCTGTTTGTGTGTAAGAACAGGTAGCCAGATTTTGTTAATGTTCTTTGCCCCTTTTTTTTCTATTGAAATTATCCCTATGTTTTTTAATTTCTATTGCCTCTTGGATAGCAATTTTGAATTTTACTGAGTATTGCTGTATTTTTGAATGAGATAATGATAATATTTATTCATCCTCAAAGACGTTGACAAACGTATAGGATAGGTCAGTGTGAGTGCCTTTTTTTAAGATCATGTTCGGCTACAGCTGATTTGTCGGTTAGTCTGAAGCGACAATTTCTCGTGTTCAGAGAGACTGGTACCTATACTTTTTTCCTGATTCCAATGTCGACTAGACCAACTGGCAGCTACCAGAAATCCACTACGCAGCTACAAGGAATCCAATACGCAGCTACAAGGAATCCAATACGCAGCTATAACGAATACAATACTCCATAAGTGTTTTTAAGGTTCACTGGGGTCTTTAGCTGACCTCAAGACTTTCTCTGATCGTTTTGTTGATCTAAATATTGGTTTCACATCGTATTTCTTCAAGATTATCCCAATCTGGTTGCTGATGGTTAGAGTTTTATTCAGATACCTGTGTGTGTGTGTGTTTGGGTTTTCCCAAATTTGTGGATACTTGTGTGTGCAAAATCAGTATTAGTCGTATACATTCATTTTGTGGTATACATACACGTGTATACCACCCAATTCTGACCATATTTTTGGACTCTACGCCTAAGATTTGATCAGATCGGCTAGAATCGAATTTTTTCGAGTGTAAGTATCCACAAATGCCTTCAGTAACCGATACCTTACACACGAATATTTGTGGTAACCCCTAACTTTTACTGCTTTGAGCTCCCCCAGTGGCGTCAAAATGAACTATTGCGTATTCATTTGTGGATACTCGGTGAATATCCGGCTTTCATTTTAATTTTATGTCGCAGTCTGAAAGTGAAACCTGAATTCCAATATTAGTGGAACCTGAGCCAAAATCTAGTCGGTAAATTGAATACGGGTTTATAACCAATTAGTCAAGGATTTATTTGTATTTTTGAAAAGATAAGTCCTTACCAATAATTAATAAAATGATATCGAAGAATAAGGTTAGGTCTTCTTTAGATATACGATGCTCATATTATTTGCATATGCCGAGTGTTTTATATCATTACATTTTATTTTTCTTTCTACCAGTTTTTTTCCTAAAATCAATNGTTCCTTGAACAAAGCTTTTGTTTTTACTATACTAAGATGAAGAATGTTCAGTCTGGAAAATTTTATTGAGTTTTCAACATCTTGCAGAATTGATTTTATGATTTTAAACGTATTGATTATCTTATTCACGAGGTCTTTGAGGAACATAGAGTTTTCTTTATACGTTTGATTTTCAAACGTATTTTGCTATTTGTTTTATTTTTGATTCCAAAAGCCTTTCGTTATGTTTCACTTGCTGAACTGTACTACTGAACTGAACAATTAATGAGATTGAGAGTGAGTATTGCTTCTTAATGTTCGTTACTAGATTATTTTGATTATCTTGTAATTCATTAATCAAACGGTCACATTTTTCACTATCGCTGGAATCTAAATTTCCTGTGAATGACTTGAAAATGGATCCAACGCCATTTATAAGACCGCGTTTTGTTTTGAGTGGATGTAGTAAAATATTGCTAAGTCTATCAGTCACTCCTTTTTCCGAAAATTGTAATATTTTTAAATAGTTAGATGTGTCCCATGAGTAGTCTTTGTGACCACCTACAAGTGTCCTTACAGTTTTTGAGTGGAATTTCAGTGTATTTACCTCCGTGATTATTGGATTTGAATTATAATAATGAATAAGTGAATATGCGTGCGTTTCGACTTTGACTTTAGTGGGAGATGGGTATTTTTTTAGGGGACGTTTTAATTTGTCCATGTGAATTTTTTGTTGGTTTTCTGTAGAAACTGTTTTCATTGTATGATCGACTGTTTTGATTTGAGTTGGTTTTTGAAATTTATCTGCATCCTTTTGCCTAATATATTTGTTCACGTAAACTTTTTGTTTGGTTTTGAATACAATGGGATCATCGCATTTTTTATTTTCTCGTTCTACTATTTTTTCCTTTCGCTTTATAAGATCCGAGTTTATTTTGGAATAGAGGAGTTTTGATCGTTCCTTGTGATAATTGGTGTAATAATTTAGTAATGTTCGATCAAGTTGAATATTGAAAGGATTATTGATTGAGAAAGGACAGCTCCTGGCGAATTTACTTGCGTCCGTGGTGAGATTACAAGGTTTAGAAAAGTCGGGATACTGCAAAATCGAATCGTTCATTAACAGGTTTTTCATTCCAAAAATTTTGCATTACGTTCGATTTTTGCGCCTTCCTTCAGGCATTTGGTTAGTGGTTTCGTTAGTCTAGCGAAATTAATAAAGCGTCGATAGTAACCTAAGAATCCTTTGATCTCTTTGGTGGTTTTTGAGACAGGGTCATCTTTGATGGCTATGATTTTATCTAGATTTAGCTTGACACCTTCGGGAGTCACGACATGTCCCAGATAGGCTACTTCCTTTCGTAGGAATTCTGACTTATCTAGCTGAATTTTGAAGTTTGAGCTTCTCAGCCTGTTGAATACGGATTTAAGGCTCTCAAGGTGTTCTTGGAGGGAAATCGAAAAGATAATAATATCGTCGAGGTATACCGAGCACTTTTCGTTCTGGATACCACGGAGGATATTATCCATTACGCACTGAAGGGTAGCTGGCGCGTTTTTCAGCCCAAATGGCATCCTCAAATACTCATAATGGTCATGTTCCGTATTAAAAGCTGTTTTTTCAATATCGTCCTCTTCCATCTCAATTTGATGAAAGCCACTGGTAAAGTCGACTGTCGTGAAATACTGGCATTTTCCCAGTTTGTCCAGAAGATCTGTGATGTTAGGTAAAGGGTATTTGTCATCTATCGTTTTCTCGTTGAACTTGCGATAGTCAACAACAACCCTCCATTTTTGCTTCCTAGAAGCATCAATCTTCTTGGGCAACACCCAAATTGGCGATGACCAAGGAGAATTGCTTGGCCTAATAATGTTTTGATCGATCATTTTCTTGATCTGATTTTCGACTTCTAGCTTGTCAGAAAATTCTTTGCACAGCGAAAGTATCTTAGATCTTTCCTCGTCATTCAAATGGTCACATCGAATTTTTGAAAAATCTAAATTATTGAAAGGATCATTGGTTGAAATGTGNCTGATAATTTTGAAATGAGACAGTTCAGCAAATAAACATTTTGAAAACTTGTCGGCTCAGCCACATTATAAAAAGTATTAATTATTGAATCACAAACTGCTAGATATCTATTTAAATCATTAGGGTTGCCGTCGAATTCAGGCACACACCTAAGGTATTCTGAGTTGAATTGATTAGCCATTATTATATTTGAACTACTAGAAGAATTAGGCAAAGAAACTGAAGAGTCAGCTGAAGGGTTTTCGTTATTCAAATTTAACTTTCCAAGAATTTGAGATAAGTTATCAATAGACATTTAAAAATTACGACTTACATTAAAATTGTAAGAACTTTGAGCATCCTTTATAAGGTAGACGACTGGTTCCTCGATTTTTGATTTCCAGAAAGACTTCCTTGCGAGACTGGACGATTCTGTTCCACTCCCCGATGATCTGCCTGTTGAGGGTAGCTAAAGGTCCACGATGGATTGGGTTTCTTGAGGTTTGAAGAGCCACTCCTTCACAAACACCTCCACAAGACAAAACAACAAGTTCGATACCCGATAAATCGTTGAAACGAAAACTGCACGTTCGATACGTTCAATTTCGAGTATCCTACCGACTGCGCCAAATATAACTTTTGGATGTCAAAAGTCCTTTTTAAAAATTGAATTTCATTAACAAAAATGGAATTTCGTGAGATTCTGCTTCAGCATGGTCAGCGGTTCACATGGAAACGGGCGATATAATTCATGCTCCACATGCCCCATATAGTAAATTCATTTTTAACCAACCAACTACCCTAATACCTCACTACGGAATTGAAAAAATTTGCTAAGAGAAGAAATTGACCGTTGAAGGTGATTTTTTCATGCCAATAAATCATCAGGAACTTGCTCTACACTTTCGAAATAGCAGAATAATTTGTGAACCAAAAACTACCCCAATATCTCAATCCAGAACTTGAATATTCGGTAAGAGAAAAAATTGACCCCGATGCTGATGATTTTTTTGCTAGTATGTTATAAGGAACTCTCTCTACATGCTCCATATAGGAAAATAAGTTTTCCCAAAAAGCTACCCCAATATTACCAAACTCAGTTTAGTAATCCTACTGATGCAATGAAAAATATTCATTTTTGAATAATCATGTATAATGTCAAAAATTATCTCTCGAAGATAAATAACATTGAGAAGAAGTCCATTGAATAATTGGCAAATGGTTTTATCATTGTTGTCAACTTCAGTTAAATAAAAAACCATTTCTGATATTTAGTTTTATTCAAAAGATATAAAATCATCTTTTAAGTGATGAAAGTAATTTTGAGATTTTAAAAAATAAACAGGTTTTTGAAGCCATTTCTCTTTCGAAAATAATTATGACGGATGTGGAAAATGTCCCATTCTATGAATAACAACTTAAAAACCAATTCTGGTAGATTCTGTCAGACATTTCATGAAATGCCAAGGTTCTGGTCCGATGAATCCACTTGAGGCATACATTGAAATGAAATATTTTTTACTTTTCAGAGTATTTAAACGAAAGCTTGTATTGATTTCATTGATTCAATTTTTTATGATATACTTAAGTCATTCTGTACACAGTTTCTGGATATTATTTTCAAATCATGAGAATTCTTTCTTACTTGGGCAATCTACATAATATGAGGTAATAAGCTTGAGGTCAGTTCAGAAGATGCTCGAAATGGTTGCCTTGAACTTCTTGACATATGAACAGCCTATTCGATATTTCACGCAGAACTTTTTCAAAGACATTAACGTCAATATGACTACAAATATTTATTATTCTCTGCCGTATATTCAATATTGAAGCAGGTTCAGTTTCGTACACCTTCAGCTTCAAATAGCCCCATAAAAAAGTACAAAGGTGTCAAATATGGCAAGTGGGTTGACCATTCTGTAGGACCTCGACGGCCAATTCAACGACCGGGAAAAGTAGTGTCCAAATAGTTTCTTACTTGTCTGAAGTAATGTGATGGTGCTCCATCTTGTTGGAGTACAATATCCATATCGTCCACAGTAGTTTCCAGCATATTCAAATACAGTTCCCCTGTTAAATTTTGATCAACAAATAGAGGTCCTACAATATGGTTTCCCTATATTCCTACCCAAACGTTAATTTTTTCTGGATATTGGGTATGTGTTTCCCGGAAAACGTGAGGGTTGGTGTCACTCCAATTTTTATAAACAAAAAATAACTTAACAAACCTTATCGGGTTGTTGTAATTGCCATATGGCAGATAAAAAGGAATATTTCTAGAAATATCAGTATTTATGTGTTTTGTCTTCAGGAAATGATTAAATGTTCCGCCATTTTGTAGTACGTGAAGATATTGACTTCATATTCTAGAGTTGTGAAGTATTCGTCAGGAGCTTCAAAATGATGTGTCACAAGACCCCCTTTTCCATTTAATTTTTCTTTCCCAGATGGCGCTCAGTCGCCATCTTCAAAGTTTCATCTGTCAATTTCACTTCAATGTAAAGTATTCATGCATTAACTTCATTATCCCAAATTTCAATTTTTTTGAGTTGACCCGTTCAAAAAATAAAAGGGGGGGGACATTAAAGAAATGCACTGTATAAAGAGTGACAGCAGCAATGGTTTTTCAGTTAGGTACTGTTTTTTCACAAGCTTTTATTCAGTTTCACCTGTCCCGGTGTCTGCCTGTAATCAAATTTATCAAGTTAAATATGACACTTCTAATCGTTCCATTAATTTGAAATTCAGCAGGTGTACATAATTGCGGTGAAAATGCATTACGAAATGTCTGTTGGAGGAAAAAACAAAATAGCGACTTCAATATGATGGACGAGTTTTGTGAATATGACCCGATTCTATTCAAAATCGGTACCAGGGAGTTTTTGGGGCCAAAGATGGTGGCTTCAATATGGCGGAAAAGTTTTGTAATTATTACCCAATTTTATTCAAAATTTTCATCTAGGGATTTTCCTGCTTGTAGATTATGATTATTTCGTCAAAATCGAAAAATTCAAGATGACGGAATCAATATGGCGAACGAGTTTTGTAATTATGCTCCGATTCTATTCAAAATTCGAATGGGAGTGTTTTCTGGGTCGTAAATTATGATTCTTTCATAAAATTGATAAATTCAAGATGGCGGCTTCGAAATGACCTATGAGTGGTGTGATTATGGTCCGATTATATTCATAATTGGTATGGGCTTACTAAAAAGTAAAAAATTAACTAAAAAGGAAAAAATTAATTTTATATGAAAAAGTTTTTATAGAAATGCACTGAAACATTTTGAATCTGTTACTCACAGAATAACCTAGATCAAACANGTTTAAAACGACCATAAGAGACACCAAAAATACTGATGTTTTTGTCATCTACTAACTTTAGGGTTCTTTCCAAGGGTGTATGTTTGCCATAATTTGTATGATGGAAGGGTATATGAAATAAATGGCTGTGTCTAAGATTCCTGTTCGGAACATGAATGTTGACAGATTCAAGTAATTCAGGACAAGTTATTAGTTCATTGAACAGCTTGAATGCATAGCATAGATCTGCATGAATTCTTCTGGTTTGCAATAGTTTCAGCCCCATTTCTTGTAATATACTTGAATAGTCATGGTACTGTATTTGAAGATCCAACTTGAAAGAACAAAATCTCAAAAATTTGATTTGCACTCTTTCTAGAGACACACAGTGCACATTGTAAATTGGAGACCAAATGATACATGCATATTCTAACTTAGACACCACTAGAGCTAAATAGATCCTTTTTAATGCTTCAATGGAAAATCCTGAACAATGACGTAAAATAAGACCCAGTGTTTTGGATGATTTCACACTCACTTGGTTAATATGGTTTACAAATTTGAGTTGTTCGTCAAAAATGACCCCCAAATCTTTTATGGAGGAAGTGTATTCTAAGTACTGATCATTTATGTTGTATGATGTATCGAATTTCCTACCAATTCTTGAGAAAGTAATAAAATGGCATTTATTTACATTGAGAAATAAGTTATTTGTAACACACCATTCATAAACTTCATCTAGATCATCTTGAAGGAGAATTTGGTCATTGTATGACTTTATTGTTCTGAAAAGCTTCAGGTCATCCACAAACTTTAAAAATTCACTGTTCTCAAAACAGCATCCTATGTCATTTACAATCGTACAGATAATATTTGAGATGCTACCACAAGTATACCTATTGCATGGTTTCCACTAATATTGACAAACCTGTATGTGTGTGTTTGTTTCCTGTACACTCTGTAGCCCAATGTACCATCTTCATGTCTGTTCACAAGAACATCTAAAAAGGCCAGAGTCCCCTGGGTTTCTCATTCCATTTCAATTGGATTTTTGGGTCGAGAGCGTTTAGATATAATAGAAAATTGTTTACTGTCTCTTCATCATCTTGCCATATCATGAACGAGTCATCAACATAACGAAGCCAACCATATGGTTTCACGGCCGCGTGCTCTAAGGCCCTTTGTTCGAAATTTTCCATTAAAAGGTTGCCTTCGCCGGAGTGTCTATTGCGGTACCATCCGTTTATTCGTAAAAAACAGGAAGAGGGCGGTTATATCTAAGACATTGAAATCTTTGATATGTCTCAACTTTTTTATATTCTGTGTAATGGCGTTATACTCGTCGTCATGCAAAAGTTTTGTGGAATGAAGTAAGAAAGGAACTGAAAGAGTTCCATGGAAGGTGAATATGAACTTGTTATCAACCTAGTATATTGTGGTAAAAAATTGTTTTTATTGCTGTTACCTGTTTGATTTCCTCCTCAATGATTTTGAGCTCAGCCAGCTGCTTCTGCTTTTTTTCCTGTAATTTCTGGTGAATGTTAACCCGAGAACCAACGCTGCTTCCTTCATTTTCACTTGATGAAGGTGGAGGTCGCCTCCAGAATGGTACTGCCACGGGCCCCAAACCAGGAGGCGGAACGAACGTGGTCGGCTTTTTCTTTTTTCGATATAAAGCTGACGCCGATGGACTACTAAAACGACAATTGAACACACCTGGTGGTTGAGAAGGTTTTTCCATAAGGCGCTTTACATGGAAGAATTTGTAGTATAGAAGCATGAACATGATTCCAACAGTAAATAACCCCACCTGGAAAACCAATTTGAGTAATGTAAATCTAGAAATATCTCAGAAATAAAAATAATAGTATAAGTTAGGAATCACACGTTAAAAGGTAAGACCTCGTTANCGAGTTAGAAATCACACGTTAAAAGGTAAGACCTCGTTAGTCCTTAGCTCGCACAAGTTTCTCAACTTCTGAGAGTTGTCGTTCGTATTGGGGCGACAGCTGATTAACGGAAAAACATATTTTAAACAGATTTTTTTTTAAACAGATATAGAAATAACTATGGCATATAACTAGCAGTGAAGAAAAAAAATTAAAACATAGAAAGTAATTACTTTTCATACCATTCGCTAAAAAAAAAACAATACGTGCAAGTTTTATTCGGTTAACCCCAGGCTTAACAATATACAGTTGACTCGCGATAGTCCGACACTTTACAGTCCGATACTCTCGGTAGTCCAACGCTGCGCCGTATCAGTCATCGGTCTAGTCTAGGCGGTCTTATCTTAACCTGTAAAACCGATTCATGTTGTGACTTCATCACATATTTTTAATCCTTTCTAGTCAAATATTACATAAAAATTTATCATCAACGATATTTTCAAACTTCAACACCCCCTCGGTCCCGTAGTGTCGGACTATCGCGAGTCAACTGTATTGACAATATTTCATGTTTTTATTAGTTATATTGAAAACATATTCACTCAACCTAAACATATCTAAATTAGCGTCAGGTATATGATTATAAGTTATTATACATCTGATAAGATAATCATAGGCAATGGTATTCTCCCTACAAAAAAATCCATCAGATATTTATGAAAGGCTAGCTATAGGGATTCATGCCATCCTTTATTTGTAAAGAAAAAAAATTCTGACCTTAGTATTTTCATTTTGAAAACAGCGTGTCTTATCCACAAACAATATAAAAATCAACTTATAGTACACGTCAGTCTTACTTCATTTCCCTTGCAACACCTACTCTAGCCTTCATACAAAATTCTATTATTTTCAATAGCAAGAAGTTATTCAATCACCTTCCCATTAACTTAAGGCGAATACAAGATGAAAATAAATTAAAAAAAAAGTAAAAAAAATCCTTATTGTTAGGCCCTTTATATAGGGTGGACGAATTGTACCGAGGCTCTAACGAATAATTGGCTCTTAGTGGTATATTTGTGTAACCAAGTTAATAAAATCAATAGGAAATGGCTATCAATTTTCATTACGTAGCATTATATATTTACATTTATTCAATATTCATGTACTTATATTTGTATGTATTCAGCTGGGCACAATATTGTTATGTTAATTTAATGCCCCATATACACGTTTTACGCTACTAGATTTTGCTAATAATATGTTCAAATCTTAGGTAATAAAACATATTTTGATTTGATTTGACCAGACTTATTGGAAGAAAAAGCCATTTTGAAACAACTACTTTCGCATAAACATTGAATTAAAGAAAAGATACTTTTGAAACAACTACTTTTATATGAACATTGATTTATACCAAAAACACTAATTTATATTCATTTTGTACTCCCAACATTCGTTATGGAGATGATTGCCACACAATGCCGTTTATGAAAGAAGTAATATTTCACTTACATGGAACACTGTCATCGTCAATGGCAGACATCGCCATACACCTCAAACGCAAATTGTATAACAAAATTCTCGTGAATTGACTAATCAAAGAAATTAATTTGAAGTTAACAATACACAATGAATCATCCACTTCTATTGAAATCGTGAACCAACAAAAACTTATCAGCCAAAAAAAGTGTTTATATTTAAAATGATTAATAAATCGTAACAGGTCAGGACTCTGGAAATATCTATAGCTACATATTTCACCATGAAGTGTTTAAAATGTAGAATTACTGGAAACGACTTGTCCTTGAGTTGTTGAGCTATAAAATAGCTTCCTCAAGAATAAACTGCTGAAGGTGATGGTGTTGAAAGGATGAGAATTTGCAAATTGAAAAGATATTCAGAGTTGGTCGGAAAAACAAAAGTGGTAACCATGCCTTGAAAGTAATTTTTTCCAGTGTAGAAGATGCTAATGAGCTAGTTAAATCGAAAGGAAAAAAGGATAAGCTCAAGGAAAGAAACATTTTTATTAATGCTGATGTAACACCACTTCAAGTGATAAACTGGCAAAACATGAAAAATGAAGTCAAGGATAGAAGGCAGAGGGGGAAAAATGTTATAATAAGATATGTGAAGTACCTCAAATCACTAATGCAGCTGCAAAAAAGTAAAACTCAATCAGATATCTGTGTATTTTCGAAAGATCAGCGGTGTTAGAATTTCAACAAACTGTTGTGTGTAAACTATGATATTGGCCAAGGAACCGTCAATAACATAGTTGATCAAAATCCCTCCAAGCAATAAAGAACATCTGTATGTTATATTATAAATAGGGACTTCAACAATTGTTATCGGAGGTGTACATATTCCTCCTTCTTCTGTAGCAGATATGGAACATACTGCTAACGTTAATTATATTTTAGAAAAATACCCTTTCACCAAGATTATAATTTTTGGCGACTACATTATCCCTTATTATAATAAATGCCTACAGAAATAGACAGATTTTCATAGATTTTTCAAAGGCATTCGACCGATTAAATCACAATTTATTGTTGCATTAACTAAAAGCTTTGGGTATTAAGAAAAACATTCTGAAATGGATTGGAAATTATCTTTCTTGCAGAGTCTAACATGCAAAATATGGTAACTCAATATCCTCCTCACTCACAGTTCCATCTGGTGTACTGCAGGAATCTCATTTCGGATCATTACTTTTCAACCTATTTCTAAATGACTTGAATGATGTTATTCTCTATAGCTAATCTCTTCTATTTGCTGATGATCTGATGATGTTTAAAGTTATTCAAGACTCATTTGATACTGAATTATTACAGGATGATTCGTCTAAATTTATACGATGGTGTGATATAAACTTATTGCAATTGAATATAGACAAATGTCATAAATTTAGTTTTTTCCTTAACAAAAATCCTATAAATAGTCTATATAAAATCAAGCATTCGGAACTAGAAACAACAAATAGAATCAAAGATTTAGGAATCATACTTGACCCAAAAATATGATTCAAACCCCATATTGCCAATGTTACTTCTAGAACATTATAAATGTTATGTTTCACTCTAAGATCTGCAGAAGAATTAGCTCTATCTTCCTTGAAAATCATATATTGTTCATTTGTTAGATCAACTCTACAATTTGGTGTTTGAAAGTGTTCAAAAACAGTTTTTAAGGTACTCTGCATACAAACAGGGATATAATATTGGTGAATATAACTATAAAATTATATTGGACATTCTTAACTTGAGTTCTCTGGCATTTCTATGCCAGAATTAGAATTAAATCTTACACTAATTCCCCGGAACTTCTTGAATTTATAACTTGTGATATAAACTTATTGCAATTGAATATAGACAAATGTCATAAATTTAGTTTTTTCCTTAACAAAAATCCTATAAATAGTCTATATAAAATCAAAGATTTAGGAATCATACTTGACCCAAAAATGTGATTCAAACCCCATATTGCAAATGTTACTTCTAGAGCATTCAAAATGTTATGTTTCACTCTTAGATCTGCAGAAGAATTAGCTCTATCTTCCTTGAAAATAATGTATTGTTCATTTGTTAGATCAACTCTACAATTTGGTGTTTGCTTTCCTTTTTTTTAAATTTATTTTTCCTTACATCAACTGATGTACATATGATTGAATTAATTATTCATTTTGTAAAAATAAGCAATGCCACAAATGATTATTTATTTAAAAATTATTTAATCTAGTTTCTCATTGATTAACCAATAATTGGTTGAGCAGGGCTTTTATGTCTCTGGTTTGGGTGAATCATCTTTTAAACAATCGCATTTGCTGATCTGCTCAGCGGGAGTTTGTTCCTTCTCCTAATGCAAATTCTGCTTTTGGTGCTCAATAATTTAGTAAAAAATATTTCATCTAGTTTCTCATTGCTTAACCAATAATTGGTTGACCAGGGCTTTTATGTCTCTGGTTTGGGTGAATCATCTTTTAAACAATCGCATTTGCTGATCTGCTCAGAGGGAGTTTGTTCCTTCTCCTAATGCAAATTCTGCTTTTGGTGCTCAATAATTTAGTAAAAGATAAATTCATAAAATATCCTTCTCTCGAGAAAGTGAATTGGGAAACTTTTGCTCTTTATGTTACAGGGACAGTTAAAGTCGTTTAGTCGATGTCCGCCTTCCCTGTAGATTCATATTCTTTGGTTACTTCATGGTCCCATGAGTAGTTAGGATAAGGAAGTTCATCATGGCAAAGCCCTGCATTGCTGTTATAGGACTTTTTACAAGAGGGCGCCCGTTATCTCAAAGGTTCACCTCCACAGGTGACACATCAGGCCCCCTGCTGTACTAGAATCAAGGCTGAAATTAAGATACGGACAAGGACTTGTATTTCTAAATCAACCCTTAATGTCTTGAGAAGGTGATTCTGGGAACTCAACATGTGATCCTATTATACACACTTTTGATTTTCTCCACTGAACAGGAAATAGTTTTTGTTTCACCATTAATCATTGAAAATCAACATAGTGTATGCCTTATCATAGAAACTATTCTAGTTATTTCGATTGCTTGGAAATTATTGGCAACAAAAAAATACTAACCGTGAGGATGGGAACTAATTCCCAATGGAGAGGTTTGTCAGGCCAAACTGCTGCTATCCAAGCACACACCAACAAACAATTCTCTAATAACATCACTACATAAAATATTGCCATAGTCCTTCTACGTGGCTTCTCTTGTAGATTTATATAGGCCAAAACATATATTGCAGCCATAATACCACACATCCCCAATTTTTTTCCCCGCTGGCCATGAAATGGGCTCCGAGGAGATAATAACCACAAAAACATACATGCCCAATGGAGAGCTAACACTAAGAAAATCCATGAGTGGTAACGAGCTGCATATGCAGACAAAGCTAGTGCCCGAGCTGTTACTGTTCCTGCTCTCCAAAGCAATTGCGACACTACACCTAACCAGGTAAGCACCAACCGGTCTACACTTTGTATGTGCTTGCTGAAGGATGCCAAAGCCCAGCAAGTGGAGAAGAGGGAGAGTGCCGTCGATACAATCAGTAAATCAGTCGGAGGGCCGTCCGCGGCACCTAAAAATAAAATTCAAATAATTAGTATAGTATACAAATTAATTGAATCATATCAATCTATATTAATTATCTAAAATATTAAATAAATCTGGGAATGAATTGAACCAGATATTGTAGTTCAAACTTTCAATATTTATATAGCTTTATCGAAGGTAGTTGGTTTCTATAAAAAAAATATAAAGAGAGAATAGGATTTATTGTACCATGGTGTGTCCATGGTTATAAACCTTTTTAAAAATAAAACACGAATGTAACACAAGGAGAAATGTTTGAAAACGTCTATACAATTGTTAAAATCCCTTATAACATATATGCATTCCGTTTTCATCACAAAGTCCAACAACTCCTTCTCACACACGGTCTACCGAAATCCTACCCATACTAACCGCTACCTCAATGCCAAGTCCCATCATCATCCTGCCCATGTAAATTCCGTTCTGAATTCCCTCATACATCATTCTATAAGACTCACTGACAACCACAGCCGCCCTTCACCAAAACGACTATCCCGTCTCCAAAATACAAAGATCCATCCAATGACAGCAAACACAAACCCCACCCCACAAGTTATCCAAACCACAGACCAACCAGACAAAAGCTTTTCTCCCCTACATCCATGGAGTCACTGACAAAGTGAGCCGAATTCAGAAGAAACATAACGTAAAGACAGTATTCACAGACAACAACTAAATCTCCACTATGTTGACAACACCCAAGGACACGATACACAATGAAGCATAGGGCATATACGAAATACCATGTTCAAACTGTCCCAGAACTTACATCGGCCAGACCAATAGAAGAATTTCCAACAGAGCCTATGAACATGAACTAGCTGTTCGCAAATTAGATCCAGCACCATCTCTCTTCAAACACCACCAGGAAACAGGCCACACAATAAGCTTCAAAAACACCAAGACTATTGCTACGGAGAAAAATCTTCAGGCCAGGATAATTCGAGAAGCAATCGAAATTGAAAAACGCCCCAACTGTCTCAACAAGCGAGATGATTCGCTTGTTACCACAAGAGGACATTGATGTTACGCAAGATACCTGAAAATAACTCGGGTACCCGGTCAGACAAACCAGATACTTGGGGACAAGGGAGATTACGACCTCGATATAATTTTTTTCATCCAGAATATATACACATACAAGATGACAATTTGAAAACTTACAATGGCTATATCTGAGCAACCAAATGAAATATAAAAACAATTTCCATAATAGGGAGGGGGAAACAAAATTATGTTATAGCTAATTTTTTTTCACTTACCCCCTCGCCCCCAGCCACCTCAACTTTATAGCCTTAAATGGCAACCCCAACTTGTGATACCTTACCTAAAATCTCTCAAAAAATGCTCTTCAATGGTACCCTACAAAGTTACATTCTTCGATGTAGTAAGTTTTTGTTTTGTAATGCACTGTTTGGAATCTTTGGTGAAGTAATGAATATTACTGGAGTTTTATCCCAACACGTTTTGAGGTGTTAAAATAACGGTTTGGTGTTATGATAAAACTCAAGTATTATTCAAGTCTTGGTTTATTAAATAAAACACTATGTACTTAGATTAAAATTTTATTTTCTATTATTAATCTAAGAAGAAGACAATTTTCAAACTCTTGACGTACATTGGCAAATGTTTCTCTGGAACCAGATCGACATTCTTGGGATGATTCTTTCCTTCAGTTGCCTATTGAGTCAGGTCGTGTCTTAAGAACAACAGGTTTTAGGTGGCCCCAGAAGAAGAAATCAAGAGGAGATATGTCCGGGGATCTAGGAGGCCATTCAATAGGATATCTTCTTCCAATCCATTGATTAGCATAATTATTATCTAACCATTGTCTAACTGAAACTATATAATGAGGAGATGCCCCATCCTGTTGAAAATGTAATAAATTATAAAGATAAATTGCCTTGTATGTCTCTCTGATTCTCCAATTCATGGTCTGAGGTTCGAAATATCTTTCTAGCATGTGAGTATACATTTCGCCATTTAAATATTCTTCTATAAAAAATGCCCATTCAAATAAAAAGTGCACTCTCAACTAAAGCAAATATTTTTGATGAGCCGAAGTTCTGCGATAATTCTAGCTGTCACCAAGTTCTTGAAGGATATGCATTTTATATGAATGAAATTTATGTACTTCAAGTACTTTCCTTACAGGCTCGCGGGATAATCCGGTTGCTGTAGCTGCCTGAGTTGATAAAGTATAATTCATTGCAAACTGTCCGAGTACTTCAATTTGCGTTCGTTCGTCCAGAAATATTGGTTGATCCCTTTTTTTATTTGTGACAGTACCAGTTTCTTGAAATTTTGCTACAAGTTAGCGAATGTACACGTGACTAACATTTATCTCTGAGTGCCTCTGGGTAAATTCTTTAGTTGTTCTTAACAAACACTGATTTTCTCTACCATTGTTGCACATAAAAATTCTGTTTCTCATGTACAACGTATCGAAAAAAAATCCAATGTATTAATAATAAGAGTATCGTTTCCCGTCTTAAAGTAAATAATGCAATACAAAAATGCCTCTCTCTTTACTTATCAACTAAGTCGAATTATTTCAAGTACAAATAAAAAAAATAGTACAGGCGTAAAATGTTTAAGAGTCTCAATATTAATGCTACGGTGGTAATAAGAACATTTCTTAAATTGATAATAGAAAATAAAAGTTTAATTTAAATAGCGTTTTATTCAATAAACCAAAATTTACTAGGTACATCGAATGTAACTTTGTATGGTACCACTGAAGAGCATTTCTTAAGAGTTTTTAGATAGGGTATTACAAGTAGGGGGGCCGTTTAAGAATATAAAGTTCGGGTGGCTGGAGGCGGGGTAGTAAGTGAAAACAAGTTAGCTATTACACAATTTTCTTTCCCCTTCCCTATTATGGAAGTTGTTTTCTGTGATTTCTTATATTTTATTTGGTTGCTCAGATATAGCCGTTCTAAGTTTTCAAATTGTCACCCTGTACATAAATATATGTATGTTGTATGTGTATATATCAATTTCCGTTAATATTCCATGTTTTACATGTGGGACTCAATTTTGCGGATGGCAATTCCAATACTTTTGCTACCAATTCAACAAAAAATACCCAGATGATTTTTTCTTTAATGCTGAAATATGCTTCCAAATTTTAGCTAAAGGAAGGAAGATTTGAAAAAAGGTTTAGAAGTGAATATTTGGGTCAACTGATAGTAAGCAAAAAAAAAAACGTCAGTCAAGTGAGGTGAAAGTTGGAGATGTCCTGATTGAAAATGATACTTGAAGCTTATTGATTGGTATTTGGGATAAGTGGAAGAAATCATTACTAGAAAAGATGGAATGGTATGAGTCGTTTGTTTAAAAACTAGTTTATATCAATTAATGAGGTCGGTCCAGAGATTGTTTCCATTAGAGGTCAGTTCCATTCAAGAACAATATTAGTAACGGTGGTGACACGAAATCGAATGATATAAAAGAAAAGCAAACAACTATCCGTTATGGAAGAAAGATTAAACTCCCTAAAAGATTTTTCTTTGTTTTGTGTCATTTTCTTCACAGGGAAATACAAAAAGTGGGAGAATGTTGTTGATAGTGGCCTGGATAATATTTTGTTTGTTCAAAGTTATATATCCCTTCTAGATCCTTATTAAGATATTCAACCTTCTGCTGCCGGTGAAGATGTGCATCCGCTGCCGATGTCCTGGAATCCAAATGTAATGACAAGACAAGTGTCGTCATCAAAACAATATATTGGATTCTTAGTTTTTTCCAAGTCTTTGAAATACAATAAAAAGAGGATTGGACACAATATGGATCCCTGGGGAACACCTGGGTTGATGGTGAAAATATTCGAGAGATATCCATCGACGGAAATTTGCAGGGAACGTTCTTTCAGAAACTGGAGAGCCATACACAAAAATGATCCGACAAGCCATAGCATCGAAGTTTGGCCAGCAAACCCTCATAGTCTATAGTTATTCGGAAATAGGCTAAACGCGAGCAATCTCCCAACAAGAAGGAAAAACGCCTTTCTTGTAAGACAGGTTGAAAAGTCTGCAAAATACCTGTGTGAAAATAGCGATTCACGTTTTCAGTTTGATCATCTGATTATCGAGAATGTCAATGTCGAAATTACTGAGTTAAGATGAATAACCCTTTATCCAATCTTCGTTCCTCTTTTTGATTCATAGACACAGTTTAATTAAAATGGTGGGTAACTGCCTTTTTGATTATTTTCGCGAAGTTATTTTCGCCCGGATCTGATATTCCAAGAACATCAAGCTTCCATAAATCAGTAATGTCATGGAATCTATTCACCAAGAAAATTCGTCATTGCAACTAATCCACATTTCAGTCAATATTTTCCGGCAACATCGGCACCAATAAGCACCTCAACGGGATCACCTTTCAATACAGTTATACCTACAATCAAATTCTGTAGTTCACAAATCCATGATTCTTCTTTAAGCGGAGTGACATTATTACAAATAACTGGCTGATCGAATGCATCAGAATTAGAAATATACTGATGATTGAAATTTCCCAAACTGATTTTGTAGCTATTATATTCAATAACTTCAGATTGGGAACCTCCAGACAACGCATGTATTATGATTTCTTCGCCAATTTTCTTGTAGCCCACTTTATGGGCAGTAAACATATTCATGTACATTCAATGACTGTCTGTATCAATGATTGCTTTTATGTTGTAAGGAAAACGTTTATCATGATGTTCAACAAGGGTTGAAAGAAAAATTGTATCATAGAAAGTTTGACTATATAGAATTTCAACAGTTGTATTGTTTTTCTCCAATAAGCCATTTTCATTTTTAGGGCAGAAAACCTCTGACGATGATTCGTTTCTTGGCCTTAGCATCGTAGCATACTTTTTCTTGCAACTGGAATACTAGAGTTACTCAAGTAATTGTCTCCGCATTCTCTACTATCCTTTTCAAGAATTCCATCAATTTATTCAATCGGTCTTCGATGAGAAATTTAGGACCAGCTGATTTCCTATTTGAACTCGTTAAATCGAAATTTTCAGTCGTACTCTGCTTGCCACACTCTGAGGGTATCTTGAAGGTATCTTCATTCTACAAGCGGAAACAACATAGCAGCATATTTTCAGTGTTTCCAATGCTAGAGGTTGTGACTCAACTTTGTTGCTCAGCTCATCCCTGATAAAAACGGGACTTCGGGCTGTCGATGGCTTTGAGCCAGATTCGAAATAGTGAAAATTGCCGTCCCATTATAGCAATTAGAAAAGTAATCACTTGAGAAGCAACTGTGATCACAGCGAGTATTCCAAAAAGGTGGTTATCGTATGACAACTATCGTTTGTTCCATATATCTATAAACAATAAAGTTTCATTTTATATCACCTGACATGACTTTCTACTTGTTGAACCCTCGACATATTTTCTCCAACCAACCACCCAACCTGAACAGAAACCACGTTACAATTGGCGCCTGACCATATTTAAGTATATCCTGGAACAGACACAAAGGAGATTCTGAAAGAAAAATTACAGGTGGACAAAAGTAAAGTCACGATGACGAACGTGGAAGAAAACAATTATGCTGTGGGCTGGTTATACAGACTGAAAAAGTACATTCAAACCGGATTATCAAAACTCTGTCTAGACAAAACCGGCATGGATGATTAAGGAATTTCGTGAGAGCACCTCCGTGTTCCACGAACACTCAGACACTTAATTCTGTTTTGGATTGAGTACAAATATGGTACACTTTGACGAAAAAAGGATCCTGGATCATTCATAGAAAAAAGTGTCAAATTGCAAAATGGTTATAACAGAACAGATGCTTTAAAAAACATTTGCAAAGAAAAAAGTGTTGAAGTCTAATGAAAATCCAGTTGAACCAAAACAGGGGAACATACGTATCAGCATGTTACGACTTGTCAAAATTGTAAACTATTGTTGTAGATCATGTCTGAAAGAAAGTAACGCCGGCCGCCACTGGTAACCATAAACCAAACATGATGTAGCTGAGAGCGTTGGAATGCCCAATGTACATTGCCGCTCGAGAAGCAGCAAGAACTTCGGCGAAAATTCTATGATGTTCGATTACGATATTCAAACGCTGGCTGCGAGCGTATCGACACAGTCAAGTGGACTTTACAGTGCGGTACGCGATATGATCTAGTAAGGCGATAGACATTCAAATAATAGTATTTGTGTATTTGAAGTAAAATAAAATTAAGTTTGATTATTCAGTGTAGTCAGATATTGGTTGACCTACGGGGAAAACGTAACACTATACTGGAAATGGTCTGGTTATAATAGAGATATAGTTGTTGTAGGAGAAAATCAAGTCCGATAACTGTTGAGGGTCTCCAGAATTTTCCCTTTTTTCTACAAACTACAATAGTAGACCTATGCTAAACAGAGGTGGGAAATCAAATTCTCTTACATGTCTCTAGAAGAAGAGTCTAGGTCTAGTTATTAGCACAAAGGAAGTAGTAGTGAAAGGTAATGCTGAGGAGCAGAACACTTCCGTTCCGTCGATAGGCAGGCTGTCTGAACAGGAAACAGATGAACTGTCGCAATTTCAAGTCAAGTCAAAGTCTTGACTCTGTCGCCTAAACGTAAAATCCGTCTTCTGAATGACACTCCAATAAAACAGAGGCATCGACCGTTAATTCCTGCTATCAGAAAATGATTAATGAATTCGACCAGATGGTGAAAGACAAAAGAGTTGAATCATCGAACAGTCAGTGGAGCTCACTGATTGTCCTAGTTGAGAAGATATCAATAAATACCGTTTCTGCGATAAACTTTCAGAAGACAGGTATATTTCAACATTGGTTCTATGTTCAAGTCACTGGTCCGTACACTTGTTGAAAGGCAGTCATTCATCATTAAGCGCCTCCAGAAATGCCTTAGTCAGCAAAACGTTCAAACATTCATTATAGCTGAAAGAAGTTTTCCATCATCTGAAAGAGGCAAACTTATAAATGAACCCACACAAATGTAGGTTTTGTAAAAAAGAGCTAACATATCTAGAACACGTAGTGAGTGAAGAAGGTACAAAAACACAGAATACCTCACAGAAGAAGTGAGGGCCATATTGTCTTTATAAGTCTGGACAGCGCTGTCCAGACTTCTCGAAGACCTCCAGATGAATGCTTTTAATGAAGGACTGGGTGCTGCTTTACTTCAAAAAACAGCTGGCAGGGATGAAACCATCGCTTGCTGTAGTTTGCTTACCATTTTGTGAAAATCAGTGATATCAAAGTTTGAAGTGGCTTCATTCCGTTAAGTCTCTTTCCAGTCTCTTGAGTCGTTGGGCACTTTAGTTGCAGGAAGTGGTAGGCTTTCAATTAACATGCCTACGGAGTCTTCACCATATTCCGGATCTCTAGATGCCCACTGTTAGCAATGTAGTCCACGGAGGACATCAAAACCAGACCTAACAGAGTTACTGCTAGAACTCAATGCATCATTGCTGCCAGTGCACCAAGAAGCACCACAGATGAAGACCTTACAGTGAAGCCTGGGAAATGTATTTCCCCTTGTTAACAGGGATACCTGAAAACTGAGTACCCGAGGTTCTGCCGATATAGTCCATGAATAAGTTCCAACTCTGGAGAGGCAAGGCTTTCGATAAGAAGAACTAGGAGGACTTCAAATACCCTAGGCTAAGTTCAATAAGATAGATAAGTCAGGCTAAGGTATTATTTTCAATTTTATGACTAGCACTAGGGCCAGGGATAGGCTAGGCTGTAGTATACAGGAGCAAGTAATATTTTAACATTATTCTATGTTTTAAATAATATTTTGTGGTCAGATAATACTAATAAAAATGATAATAGTAAAATAATAATAATGCTAGTAATATTCATTTCCCTTGTTGAACAGTATAAAATTTCATTCACACAGTAACAAGGAAGACATCCATAAGGTATATATCATGATAGAATACAATTACAAACATTATTAATAGTCTAACACAGCGGATCTCAAACTTTTGTTAAGCGAAATACTTGACGGACCCCAACAATAAAACAGTTACTTATTATTTCCTTACATAACAAGTATAATAATAATAAAAAAATTAAAAAAGAAAATCTAACTAATGGGATATATGAAACTGTTTTTTTATTTTTCATCAATTGGTTGATATTTGGTTTGATATAGGACAGTTGAAGTCTCATATCAGGTTGAGTTTCCAGTCTATTGATGTATTTTGTTTTCATGGCTGCATAGGTTGAGAATCCTGTTTAGGACAAATATGTTGTTGAGAATGGGAGAAGAATATTCAGAGCCATTTTGGCAAAAATCGTTGAGAGGCGTCATTTTAAATAGTGACTCCATACTTGTGTCTGATAACATTTCTAAAAGAGAATCGTAAATCTTGTTTGACATACTTTCGGGCTTTTGCAAGTTGGGTAAAAAAGGATTATGAATCCATAAATTCAGTCTCATATTCGTATTCTGTTCAAAGTTAGAATCAATCCAAACTTGATATATGATGCATCATACTTCTTTTTTTTTTTACCTTTCAAACCGTGGAACTTGTTGTTACATCATCGTCTGGATCGGTAATTGCTGTATACTTCGCCCGTACTTGAACATTCGGTTTCGTTAGAAGATATTGTTGCAACATTTCAACGCCTTTAAGCCATCGTTTCATTCCTCTTTGTTGATAATGTTACATGTCAGGAGGGTGGGGTCAAAATAATGAACTACGTAGAAGAGTTACTTCAAAGAAAAAATGTTCAAAACTGATACAATCAAAATACAGCAGTGTAACAATAAACACTTCGTTTCTGGCAGGTGGGTATTCCGAAACGCTAATCTTCCACTGTATGAGTGGTCTAACATATAACACAATCAGTGAAACAATACTTGAAAAATAAATAACACCTTAGAATGAATAATTATTGGTTTGCGAAAAATTCCTCGATGGTGTAGCAGTTTTTTGGCATATAAATGTGTTTGATAGGTTATTTGAGGGGCATAATTGGACCACATTCAAATATGAACAAAACAATTCATCTGTTGAATAATACGGAATGTTTTATGTACCTGAGACGAGGTGTCACATTTTTGTAAAAGACCTAAATTGCGGATAGATATTAAATAGTATTTTTATTTAGCAATATTTCACAATAAATATAGTAAAACAAAACCTTTTGACCTAGTTCACAATTATTTTTTTAATTTCCTTCTTTTTAAATAACATAGGTTCTGTATTGCCTATGCACTCTGTATATGAACTACTCTCGAAAATGTGAATGATAATAAATACCTGGTAATAATGATAGCTGCAACAATAACATAGGAGCAGCTTGCAGAAATCCATGCACCAACCTCAATATGCATAAGTCTCTAACTTCACGCTTAACACTAGCTATCTGAACAGGTACAAGAAGTCGAGCATATCGCCACAGCACACCTAGCTGTAACACATGTAGCGCTATCACAACAAATCGCTGCCAACCAACTGTTTCTTGATTCAAATACCACCTTAGTGATAAAATCTGAGAAATTATGATTGACAAAACTATGGCACCTAGACACTGAAGGAAAAGTACCGTGAAACTTCTTTGATACAGGTCATAGACTACTAAAATATCGAAAACCAAATCACAAAAATATGCTGCTAGGGAAACCACATTAAAGAGTAAATCGCATAATGGCAAGAATTCTGCCATGTCTTCAACTGAATCATCTCATGCTGAAAATGAGAGGAATTATTTCAGAAAATTGGTAATTTTTTAAAATTTATCTACATACTTGCCCTCCAGTATTTTTCTGGGCCACTCTCTGCATTCCTAACCTCCTTTCATTTTTGCAAGGATACTTTCTTCATATCAGTACAATAGGAATACTTCTGAAAATATTTAGTCATATTTGCTGGCAAGATGAGTACTTCTTCCATGTGAAAGGTTTATTAAATAGGAACAATCAAAAACATTTGTTGACAAGTACTAGAGTCGATGTACTTGTGCTTGCGCAAACTTTAAAAGGCGCATATTTTACTTTGACATTGACTTTACTTGACATGTCATGTCAATTGTCTTTGTCATCCATCATCCATAGAACTAATAAATATTAATATTTGCAGTTCGTGAATAGAGATTAGATGTGTCATTATTTATGCTTACAAAACTATAAAATATTTGATTTTATCTCACCATGTGAAGCCTTAAAACAGACACATTCTACTTTTCATTAAATTTCAACTTTTTGTTGGTATCTCTAGTATCTATTTTTTTTACGAGATCTCTGCATTAAAGTTGATTCACGGGACGCATGGATAATGTCCTGAATAAATGACCATAAAGATTTTTTTTATGAAACTCGGTTCAAGAACTGCCACTATACTATTCGTTTTGGAAGAAATGAGGTTCCCTAAAATAGGGATTATGCACGTCTCAGTTCAAAATATATTGATTTCAACAAGACATCACTTCCAATAAAGCCGTCAAAACTAAAGGTAAAAGTTAAAAAACTTCAATTTCTCCATAACACAAAATTAAAATTGCTGAATTTTTAGATCGGTTACGGCTACTATTTAGTAGCCGTAAGTAGTTTTTATTATCATTGATTATTCATCATGACTGAAACCGATTGTATTATTATTGATAACTAATTATGGTGATTTTCGGTGTTTTTTGAATGCTCTTAAGACAATCATTAAAATTCAAGGTCAAACCGAGTTTTAAGTGGAGGCCATTTTCAACTTTGAATATTTTGAAGAAAAACAGCTCAAACAAATTTCTTCACTATTTTCTGGGCACATCATCGATTATCTGAAATAATGAAAAAATACATGTGTTTTCCTATTGGAAATAGGACATCTTCTGATGCTCAGAATTTTTCGATAATTGTTCTCAATTACGCCACTTTATCGCGAAATTCAAATGTATTTTTATTAATGAGCATCATGCCAAGATGTGAATTTCTTAATTTTTTTTAGTTGTTGAAGACAGTGTTTCCTCTTCAGTCACATATTAATCTGTGCTTCAGTCCATATTAGGACGTCGTTGTTGACGTTTAACTAGGTCAGTGCATGCCTGAAAATAAATAATTTTTCAAATGAATCTCGAGATTACTGCCATAATAAAAGTCAATACTAATTCATGAGAAAGAATATACCCACCCAAAGCTAATTTATGAAATAATATAAAGCCTTTGAAGAAGAGAAAAGTGAAGATCTAACCGATGGGAACTTAGAAGTAAAATTTATCAGCTGTCCGAAACTTACCGAAGGCACAGTGGCGTCGGTATTTAGAAGGGGGTTTATTATTTGAATGAATAAATATGTGTGATTTCGGAAGATATTATTATATATAGTTGAAAAAAAAACACTCCTTTCAGTTTACTAGCGAAAATTAGCAGTTATGTCTGAAAATCCTGTTTGTGCGTGAGCAGAAAAAATGGATTTAAAAGAGATACTGAAACAAAAACTTGAGAAAACAGGTAACAAAAAGTCTTGCCTCCCATTTTCTATAAATTAATTATTTTTATTTTCATCAGCTTCACAAATCAGTTCAAGTGAAAATGAACAGATGGAAGAAAAATATTTCAAACAATATCTTGCAGAGTGGAAAATAACAAAGGCACCTCCAGAACGAGGCATCCCGAAGTTCTTCAATAAACTCCCTAAAGAGAATGAACCCCTGCGGTCGAAACTGAGAGAAGAAAGTCGTTCTAACCTTCTCAAAAGAAGAAGTTCAGAGTTATTAGATAATAATGAACTGAAAGAGCTTTGGACACTTCTTGATCAAAATCAAAGTTTTTCGGAGGAACAGTTAATCACATATAGTGATTTCCAAAAAGTTGCTAATTCGGTGGGCCCCAAAGTCAAACCATATTTTACCCCTATTGTATTTGCAAAGCTCCAGCAAGGTGACCCACATGGAAGAGTGTCGATAATGTCACTCTTCAACTATGTTATGAGGAAAGTGTGGCTTGATCAGACTAGAATTGGTTTGTCCCTGTATGATGCCACTGGGCAAGGATATCTTACAGAAGCAGATTTGGAATCATACATTACTGAACTCCTACCTACTCTACCACAACTTGAAGGGCTTGAGAAGTCTTTCCATAGTTTTTACGTGTGCACAGCAGTGCGAAAATTTTTGTTTTTTCTTGATGTTGTTAGAGCTGGGAGAGTGAGAATTCTTGACATTCTAGCCTGTTCATTTCTTGACGACCTATTAGAACTTCGAGATGAAGAAGTGAGCAAAGAGTTACAAGAACAAAACTGGTTTAGTGCTCCTTCAGCACTCCGCATTTATGGACATTATTTGAACTTAGATAGAGATCATAACGGCATGTTAAGCAAGGCTGAATTAGCTGGTTATGGTTCAGGCACTTTAACCAAACCATTTTTAGATAGAGTATTTCAAACATGTTTAACCTATGGTGGTGAAATGGATTATAAAACTTATTTAGATTTAGTACTTGCCTTAGAGAACAGAAGCGAACCACAAGCTCTGGCCTATCTTTTCCGAATATTGGATATAAAAAATGGTGGTTATTTAGATTCATTCACACTGAATTATTTTTTCAGGTAAGGATGTTTATATATAAAGATATCTTTTAGAGATATTGTGAATAGATCCTTTGTTTAATATGGTCTTCATTAATACAAATAACAGAAAAGTTCATAAGAAAAAAGGAAATTCAATAAGTATCAATAATCACTCTCAGTTAGTTGGAAAAGTATGGAAAGCTTTTTTTGATCATAAATTTTGGAAAAAAGTTGTCAGATAAGTTCTGTCAAGATTAAAACTTGAAATGCAACAATCACTTTTCAAATTATTTGTTTGTTTGTTGAAAAACAAGAAATTTGCACAGTAAAGTACTTTCATTTTTGACAATGAAACAAAAAAAAAATTATTGAATTAAAATCGCATATAATATAAGCATTTGTATGATTTTTTATGAAAAATAATGTTTTATTATTTTATACCAATATTTCTACTTTATAAATTAATTTCAGTTTTGTCAATTTGAATGATGAACTTTCATCTCTTAAGATTAATAAAAACATGTTGGCCTTTTAGTTTCTTAATGTTTTCTTTCTATTTATTCTAAATGTTCAATAATTACAGTTATATTTTCGTCGTTTCATCATGCCATAATTTCACGGAGTCATTCATAATATATGATAAAATTTCACTTATGCTTGGTATACTTCTTTTCATCAAAGATGTGGTGAATTTCATCATAACCACTAGAGCAGCGTTTCCCAAACTGTTTTGCCTGGGGACCCACCTTCATGATGGATTTTTTTTGCGACCCACATATTAAATAATATTGAGTATAATTATTATTACTAATAATATTTTTGTTATTATTATCGTGAAAATTCACTATTGAGGAATAAACCTCTGAAAGAAAATGGTAAAGATGATATAATTGAAGATAAAATACAGTACGAAAAAAGACTTTTAATTCAAAATCTGAAAGCTAAACAAATTCAAAAATTTTAAAAATGAGACTTATGTAATGAATGTGATATGTGTGATTGATGTCTTGTTTAGTTTATGGTTATTCGTGATCACTTAAATGAAATCAATAAAAACACTTTTGTCTAAATACCACTGGTAAATTTTATTTATACGACTGGTTTTGGGTTTGATAATGGGGTAGTATGTGTAGTTTTAAAGATCTAAGCATACATAGAAACAGACAGCGGGAAGTAACTTTGTTTTATTCTATGTAGTGACATATAAAATCAACTCGCTGTTTACTATTTTCCAAGTTTCATATAAAAGTTTATTATATAATACTTTTTTATATAATACTTCTATGTTGTGAAAGTTTGTGGACGTGAACCATATTTATTGTTTTTGTATTGTTCAACTTCTGTAGTTTTATTTTTGTTTTTTAATTATGACTTAGCACATGTACTCAATGTACCAAAGTGTCAAATAAATAAATAAATAAATAAGTATTTTTCAGAGCAATTCAGGATCAGATGAAAGCTCATGGCGCAGAACCTGTATCTTTTCAAGACGTTAAAGATGAGTTGTTTGATATGGTGAGACCCAAAGATCCACAGAAGATAACCTTGGCTGATTTACTAGCTTGTGGTCAAGGCGACACATTTGTCAGTATCTTGATAGAATTTCATGGATTTTGGGCTTACGAGAATCGTGAAGCTTTGTCATCAGAACCTTCACAAGATTAATGTGATATTGTTTGAGATGTATATTTTTGTACTTTTTAAATAAATTTGTCTGTATAGTTCCTCTTTACGTTTTAATATTTCCCCATTTTTGGTTTTCCGTTTCACCACCTTGATACAATTTTGTTGCTTTCGTTTTCTGAATAGAATTTATTCTCACATCATGAAAAATATTAATATTTCTAGCAAAGCCGTATATACAGCACTAAACTACATCCACAACTGTCTTGGACACGTTTTTGAAAGGTGCATATTACTTTGTGTCTTTAAAAAAACTCTATGAAATCTACTTGAACTATAAAATAAAAAAACTGATAATCAAAATAAAATAGTGTTATAAAATATAGTCAGTAACAAATTCTTATGTTACTAGTCGCACCATATCCCTTGGATACAACCAACCGTAACAAAGTATCTCTTTAAAATCTGAAACATCACTAATCAAAAGATCTAGCTCGATCAGAAAGAAAGTCGATCCCCAGCAAGCACGTTGCAAAACTGTTGAGAACTATAAAAGTAATTTTGCGAGAAAAATATCGCAAGTGATATGTCTCACATAGTCTATACACCTTACATATGCCTTTGAATATCTCCAAGCTGATTCCAAATGTTATGTTGACTTAACAGAGTTATCGAAATGAAATGTCAATGCATAGTCGCTTCAAGACAAATGGGAAATGCTTTTGAGACTCCTTAATTCAAATTGATAATGCACCTGAATAAGAGTTCCAAAACAGTTCTCAAATAAAGATTTCGTTATCGAATCAAATGTTATTTTATAAATTGAACGAGGTCTATTTTTAGGAGAGAATAATTTTTTGAAATGAATTGTTTTGGCTTTCTACTCCATCGTTATACAAAAAAATGTGAGAATCTTCCAAAGAAAGAAGGTAATTCATTTCAAAACGAACTCTCTAAAAAGATATGTAGATCATGCAAGGAAGTAACTTTCAGACACAAACTGGAAGGAAACACCATCTCGAAACAACTATTTTCTTATAAACATTGAATTACACGAAAGAAAAGATTATTTTGAAACAATTACTTTTATATGAACATTGAATGAGCCTTTTTCCTGAGAATAGTACAGCGAACGTGTCACGAGAGGCAGCACTAGTAGTAGAGACAAACATAAACTATTCACATGTAAAACAGTGTTATTTACGTAATATTAATTTATTATTTAAAAATATAAATCTGATATAAAAAATTATTTTGTGCTAGTATAATGCCAACAAAGTATTGCTGTTTTGCGAATTGTAGTTGGATAATCGATATCCGGAAGAAAACGTGTTTTTTATACCATTTATAAAACCTCATATTAACCCTGCGTACGACATGTGGACTTTTGTAACATTTGTAGACACATGGGGTGTGTGAGACCCCAATATGATTTTTCTTTTGAATTTCAACATAGTTGTTATGAGAATTCTATACCTACTGTAATATCTCTTTTTGCAATAAAATAATTTTTGATTTACCAAAACGAGCAATAAATCGTTATATTCCATCTTTACCAAAACAATGGGTTCTTTTAATGGAAAAAAATATAGATTTACTCGAAGAAGTCTTTTGCACATAAAACGACTAAATACATATCAAATTGCTGTTTCAAACAGATAATAAAACATCATAAAATGGAAATTAAAAAAAATTATTGAATATCATAAAAAGTTACAGGTCATCAACGTTTGCCATTTCTACGCAAGATTTGCAGTATATTTCTGTATATGAATTTATTGCATTTGTTACAAATGTATTTTGTATTTAGATCACGGGCACGATGTCAATCTTGAAACCTTCCTTGACCATTTCGTTTTTAGTCTTTTGGATGGAGGTTCCACAGTTTCGCCTTTAATCTTCGAAATCTGGATAGATTTTATCGCTCGTTTCATCACCATCAGATTCGTCAATTTCATCATCACTTCCTATTTCATCCCATAAGGACTGAAGACGGGCCATTTCTCGCTCATAATTACCTATTTTTATCGAATAACTTGAAAAACTACTCGATATGGCTTTCGTTGAATGCGCACAATTTTGGAACGCATAGAGACATGTGGGGTTTCGTGCACCCCAGTCGTTTTATAACAGGTCTGATTCATACATACGTCAAACGTCAACTGATTTGAAATGTTAATATGAGAGTGGAGACTATGTGCGGAAGCTACTAAATATATCCGACGCTGGGGTGCCAATTTCGAAAAGTTATATGGAATTTTCTACGGCTGGGGTATGTCACACCCCACGTGTCGGACGCAGGGTTAATGAGGTTAGATGTAAGAATTGGATACATGCTTCGAGGAGAGTGGATTTAACAGTGCAAAAAATAAATATTCATATGTATGCTCCAAACATGAAATGAATAGTAAATTTTTCATAGTTAATAATTACCATTGATTAAAATGAGATATAACCTCAATCATTAATTAAATTATATTCATTTATTATATTCAATTAAATTTATTTCATTACTATCTATATTTGATTCATATTTCACTCGGAAATAAATCTGAAATTCATAATTATTTTAAATTTATTTTATTACAGTTTGAATCTATCGATACTCTTTTACTAGAGTCTGTATATTAACCTGTCTATAAATTAACTTTTTTCCAGTTACTTTTAAATTACCACATGCAAGCCAACGTTTTAATGTTACAACATTGTTATCCTTTACAGTTGCAAATTTTAGTTTTGCTCCAGGAATATTTTCTTCTGTTAAAAACATTCTTTTTTATTTGTAGATATATAATGGGATGACTTGTGCTGGTGCCTCTACCGTAAACAAAATGGCACAGATACGCAAGTTTGTTGAGTGAAAGGAGAAGGGGAGAAATAGAATCAAGCAGTGTTACCTAGAAAAATTTGTTTTGAAGTTGGCTATGTTGAAGTATATATGCTTTTGAGCCTGATTTAAATTAACTGAGATTTATACATTCTTTCAGTTCGTTTTGGAGGCTGTTGTATATTTTTGAGCCAAAATAAAGGATATTTCTTTGAGTGTGAGGTTTGCTGAATCTAGAAACTTTCAGTGTGAGGTCAGTGGTATAGCCTGTGGCTCTAGATTGGTGAGCATGTACTTAGTTAAGGTTTTTGTTTGAATGTCCAAATCAAGGTTTGTAGGATATATAAATTGCAAATATTTAAATGGTTTGTAGGATATATAAATTGCGAATATTTAAAAAATTCGCAAGTTTATACAATTCTGATGTAGAGAATCGTCTATTTTTCTTGTATATAATTTTGGGAATGGTATTTTGAATAATATATCAGCCCACATCAATCTGAGCAGCCCAATACCAGTGATCATGACGGCCCCCCCTCTAGCGTGATCAAAACATCTCTGAGTGCTGAATACCAAATAAGTGGCATGATAATCACCATTGTATAATTGATCACAGCTTGTCAAATCTAGGAAATTAATTGATCATTTTTACAATGTACACATTCCCTGAGAGACAGAAGCTGATGGAAACTAGCTTGTAACTGAGCATTGTCACCATCTCATAAAGCGCACCCTTCCCGCTAGGGTCGTATCAAAATTTGGAAATATCTTCCTACATTTAACAAGCTGTACATTTTAGGACTAGCAGTGGATTAATAACAGATGATTAATGCTACAAAATAAATAGTGCGGAGGTAAAAAGTGTCCACATCTCTTAACTTCCGAACGGGGCGAGATATCAAATTCGGACAAAGTATACTTTTTAGTAAAATAATAATAATGCATCAATTCTCCTTAGTGAGAGAGAGAAAGAAGTCAATATATCCTAACACATGTCTCACTCAGTCTCATGCCCGTGGATAATGCCATCGCGCTCCTACCCACAGAGGTTTAAAATTGAATTTAGGGGATGATTGGCCCCTTGGATCGGTCTGTCTTCTTGTAAAAGGTTTTAAAATAGTTGTCTGGTGTCACCATTAAAGTGCGCACCATATAGGAAACTTTTTTTTCGAAAAGTTTCAATGAAGTTTAACTTCGGTACTTGTTTGTGCTTTAAATTTAACTTAAAATGAAAAGGTCTAGCCTATTACTCGTCCCCTTTGCTATGGAAATTCGACAACCCCCAATAAAAGTGTAATTTCATTTCTAACAACAAGTTCCAGTACTAAACTTTATGTTTTTAACGACAAAAATAACGAATGTGCCATAAGAAGGGACAACCTCCCTCTTTACAGCCACAAGGGTAGAATTTGGAAAAATCAACCAAGATGCATAATACCTACCAAGGCCGAACCAAGGCTTTTTAAAATCGAGCTGAGCTCAAGTAAAAGCTCGGCTGGAATACACTTCTACTTCCGGCTCGAGATTATAAACACAGTAAGGTGTAAAGTCTCTTAAGTAGGTATTATCATTATTAGGTATTTCAATTCTGTTGAGTACCTACCTGCTGTTTGGATTATTCGAGAACAAAATACCATTTCGGTATATCTCTGAAGACACCTGACAACTCAAATTCATTAAAAATATTTCGTGGTGTCGCGGAACCCGCAACTAAAAGAAGTAGATTTGCATTTAGTGGACTTAAATTCACTATGATACGCTCATGTCATTATTCTCATCTTTACTTTCACAAATTTGTTGGCGCCTAGCAAGACCTTGCGACTGCCAGCCCCGACCTTCACAACATCTTTGTAGGAATTCCAAAAATGCTCACCTAAAAACGCCACTTGTCGACCATCGGCTTTGGATTTATTTTTAAATTCAATTGACGCACAGAATGCCATATCGAAAATATGTTATACTCTTTTGTTAAAGACATTTATGTACCTACTTATGTTTTCTTACATATGATGAAAAGTTATTCAAAATACTAATCGTTTGTTCAAGAGTGGAGGCGCAATTACGAAATTGAGAGTTTATGTTCAATTTTTCATGACAAATCCTGCAAAAACGACATTATATTTAAAAAAATATATGTGAACGGCGATATGAATATTTACTAGAAAGTCAGTGTAACTTCATGAGTATAAGGAAGAAAAGAGGTATAACTATTTTGCAGGTCTGCATGTCAGCAAATTGTTCTCAGTAGAAATTGCTCACGTATTCTTGTAGTAAGACAGAATTTCTTGCAGGTCGGGTCTGCCACACATGAATCTCGCCCAGGTTAATCATATTCTACAGAAAAATTATCCAACCCCCACAAAAAAGTTTCACAATTCCTAAAAAATTGGAAATACATTTTGCAGGTCGGCGGAAATTCTTCCAGGTCGGTTCTCCCAGACATGAATCTCAACAAGGTTGATCATTTTCGACTAAAAAAATTCAACCCCTACCCTTTGAGCATGGAAAAATTCCACATTCCTCATTTAATTGAAAATGAACCTTGCAGGTCGGCGGAAATTCTTGCAGGTCGGGTCGCCCAGACATGAATCACGACCAGGCTAATAATTTTCGAATGGGAGACCCGACCTGCAAGAATTTCCGCCGACCTGCAAAATGTATTTTCAATTTAAGAATTGTTTATCTTTTTCTGGGGGTTGGAAAATTTTTCTGTCGAAAATGATTAACCTAGTCAAGATTCATGTCTGGCAGACCCGACCTGCAAGAATTTCTGCCGACCGGCAATGTTTATTTTCAATTCAATGAGGAGTATGGATTTTTTCCATATTCAAAGAGTGGGTTGAAATTTTTTTTTGACGAAAATGAACAACCCGGTCAAGATTCATGTCTGGGAGACCCGACCTGCTAGGTTTATTTTCAATTAAATGACAAACGTGAAATTTTTCCATACTCAAAAGGTGGGGATTGAATTTTTTTTTGTCGAAAATGATTAACCTGGTCGAGATTTATGTCTGGTAGACCCGACCTACAAGAATTTCCATCGACCTACAAAATGTATTTCCAATTTTTTAAGAATTGTGAAATTATTAAATGGGGGTTAGGAGTTTTCCTGTCGAAAATGAATAATCCAGTCGAGAGCTGATATATATTTGAAATAGGTAATCCTAATACACAATATTATATAAAACATATTACTAACATAGGAATTGTTGGTGCAGCTCTAATGCAATGATAAAAAGCAGAAAACAACATACAGATACTATATTTATTAATATTATCTTACCAAGTATTATTCTCTCTAGCATTGTGGATGGATTTCAATAACTGTTTTTCAAAAATACTTAATGATGGACAAGATTGGTAATTTATTGTATGCATCAAACCCTTTGAAAAATAAAGAATTCATGGCACTTCTCCTCTTCGTTCTGCATAAATGCAAATTAGTATGATTTCTTGTGGTATATTTGTGCACTTCTGAATTTAAACTAAAAAATTCAGAAAAATATGAAGGTGATAAGTTATTCAGAATTTTATACATATATGTCATAGTTAGGTAATACAACCGTAAAGAAACTGGTAGCCACCACAAAGTTTGTAACATAATTCCGATTTCAGTGAATCTATTCACTTTTAGAACAATTCGCATACCGTGATTTTGAAGTTTTTATAATTGAGATGTTTGATTTAGATTAAACAAGAAAATAATAGAAGCACAGTAATCAAAATGTGGTTGGATAATCGCATTGTACACAGTAATTTTAGACTGAGTGGATAAATTGCCAAAAACTCCTGCAAAGAAATATAGTTTTTTAGATATTTTTTTACATATATACTCGAGATGATTGACAAAAAGTAATAAATTATCTAACTGGAATCCAAGATGTTTGATACATGATACAATTTCAATGTTTTCATTATCGATTTGTAGATTTATTTAATTTAAATCAAGGCTGTTCCATTTATATTTTGTTGTAATAATCATTTCTTTAGTTTTAATTTTATTCGGTTTTAATTTATTTGCCATGAGGTACTCATTTACATCCTTTAATGCGGCATTCATTTTATCAATAGCTATATCTAAGCTTGTATACCAATAGTGTATCATCTGCAAATAAATTTATAAAATCAACATTTATAAACAAGTTTATGTCATTTAAGTATAAGATATCCATATGTCATAGATGTCGAGATCCATAACTGGCAGACCCGACCTGCAAGGTTTATTTTCAATTTAATGAGAAAGTGAAATTTTTCCATACTCAGGTGGGGGTTGAATTTTTTTTGTCGAAAATGATCAACCTGGTCGAGATTTATGTCTGGTAGACCCGACCTGTAAGAATTTCCATCGACCTGCAAAATGTATTTCCAATTTTTCAAGAATTGTGAAATTATTAAGTGAGGGTTGGGATTTTTTTTTCTGTCGAAAATGAATAATCCAGTCGAGATCCATAACTGGCAGACCCGACCTGCAAAAATTTCTGCCGACCTGCCAAATTTATTTTCAATTTAATGAGAAATGTGGGATTTTTCCATACTCAAAGGGTGGGAGTTGGATTTTTTTTTCTCGAAAATGATTAACCTGGTCCATATTCATGTCCGGCAGACCCGACCTGCAAGAATTTCTGCCGGCCTGCAAGGTTTATTTTCAATTTAATGAGGAATGTGGAATTTTTCCATACTCAAAGGGTGGGGTTTCGAAATTTTTTCTGTCGAAAATGAATAATCCAGTCTAGATCCATAACTGGCAGACCCGACCTGCAAAAATTTCCGCCGACCTGCAAAATTTATTTCCAATTTTTTGAGAATTGTAAAATTTTTGGGTGGGGGTTCAAAATTTTTTTTGTCGGAAATGATTAACCTGGTCGAGATTCATGTTTGAGAGACGCGACCTGCAAGAGTTTCTGTCCTCCTACAAGATTACGAGAGCAATGTCTACTGAGAACAATTTGCTGGCCTGCAGACCTGCAAAATAGTTATACCCGAAGAAAAGCTATTTGGTGGTCCGTCGGTTCATCAAGCTATTTGGAATGGGGAGTATGCATTTGTTTAAGTTGGATGAATCTTTGGATTTGGGATAGTCATTTTAGTGAAGGGTGGCTTTGAGTACGTTTTGTTCCTTGGATCTATTGTGGCTGTCAGTGAGTCTGATAGAACTGTGTATGAGATAATTCAGAACGGAATTCAATTGGGAAGGATGATGATGGGAATTATCATT